CATACATACATACATTTTTATACATGTTGATATGTCATGTTTTGTTGTCATATATGTATATATACACATGTAGATTGCATATACATATACATCTGTATACACATGCACGGGAGCATGTGTTTGTGTGTGTGTGTGTCTCTCTCTCTCTCTCTCGCTCTCTTTGCCTCTCTCTGTCTCTCTGTCTGTCTGTCTGTCTGACTGACTGTCCGTCTGTCAGTTCGTGTGGACTTGCCTGAGTTTCTCTTTTACTATGTTTACCCTTCCATCGCTTCGAAGCTTGCCCATCCCGAGGAAGAGGAGTCGCAGTCCGACGGGCTTGGCCTGAGCCCAAGCATCTACTAGTTACAGGATGGCAGTTCTGATGACAAATACCATTCTCTGGCGACCTCGGCAGGTCAGAGCTTTTTGCGCCGTTTGGGGGAGGGCGGATAAGAAAGTTTCCAGGATTCTTGCACAGGTCGCTCAAATTCAGGGTTTCCTCTCTGAGCCGCTGCCCCCAACAGAAAACATTGCATTCTGCGCAGCTATTTCAAGCACATAGCCTAGCCTTGCTAAGGTCCAAGTGAACAGCCGCTGAGTGGCACTGCTGAGACGCTGTCTGCTTGGCGGGTGGAGATTGAAGAAAGGGCCGAGTACCTCGGAACCTTTGCTTCCGAATGCCCCTGGAATGAAGTTGGAGTGACTGGCAGGGTTTCGTTTCAAGTTCATGCATGTTCCACAGATTCTGATGTGTAACATGCAAGGTCCTAGCTCCGCTTCGTTAGCATTCCTTCCAGCCAGCCCGGCAAGTGTCAGCTTAGGCGAGGAAGAAGTGCACACCTTCGAAGGGCAGATCTCGTTGCTCGGCCTTCAACCCTCTGGCAGTCTGTGAGCTCCATGAGCTCCATGGTCTCTCTCACATATACATACACATGTCTATACGCATACATGCATGCATGCATATGTATATATTTGTGTATGTCTATGTCTAGACCTATGTCTGGGTCTATGTCTATGTGTATGTATATGTACATGTATATGTATATGCATCTGTACATGTATACGTGCACAAATGCAGAATAAAGTTTCTATATGTAGATAGATAGATGGATAGGCAGACAGACAGATAGATGGATGGATAGATAGATAGATAGAGATAGATCGAAAACAATACGTATGCATGTGCACACACACACACTTTTTTTGTATATATATTATATTTTTGTGTCTGTCTGTTTCATCTGTTTGTTTTATCTATATCAGAGGTCGAGCACGGCGGCGATGAAAGTTGAGCTGGAGGCCGGGACGGGGCGGAGTTTCTAACGTCTTGGCCTCTTCGAATGTCGGTTCTTTCGTCTCCGAATCGAAACCAAAGCACCGCAATCCGGTGCGCGAATTTCTGGGTCGATTAGCAAAAGTCCACCCCGGCTGACCCCAGCGGCCCTAGCCCATGCGAAGTGTCCCGCAGACCCTCCAAGCCGAGCGCGCTTCGGTGGCCCGGCGGGCAGACGGCCTCCGGATGCGGCGCGAGGCCTCTCGCTTGCATGCTTTTGCCTGCCTTTTCGTTGTTGGAGGGAGGGAGGGGAGGGGAGGGGGTAGGGGAGAGGCTTGTTGGTTTCAGACTTGTGAATCTTGTTCGTGGTTGTCCGTCATGATCGAGTTGACTTTCGAGATAGCTCAGAGGCTTGAGCGTTTGATTTTTTAACATGGACTGGGAAGAAAGATTACATTTCCAGTCCTGCCTTATGTTATGGAGAGGGCAATTAACACCTGTCTCAGTTACATGCACTAAGCACTTGAAGCAAGCTGAGCAGGCTATGAAGGCACTGTAGCATCTCTAGCGGTCACTTCGAGTACGGCTTAAAAGGCCGATTGATTTGATGCATGGGTCAAGCTGAAGTGTTCGAATGGTTCAATAGATGCAACCAGTCTACGATGTTTGGTGATGCTAGGTACATCTCTGTTTGTATTCTGTAGTTGCCTCTCTGTGAGCGTTCCTGCATCTTTGCACACCGGAAGCCCCAAGCACATGTACAGGAGCTGCTTGCGCAGCTGTTGGAAGTGGAGGCGCACGGCCATGTTCTTCGGGGTCGTTCTGCAATTTCGGGTGCGTGCCTGGGCCGTGGCCTCTTAGATCCTTCGAGGCTCCATGCAACCGCATGCTTTGTTTTCACCTGTTGTGCTACGTGCAGTCGTTCTATGCTCTGGTATGGCCTGCTTCGCTGTTTTGTGGCATATTTTAGCGAGCTCCATTGTGTTATGTGCATAAATGAGCCGATGAACCCCTGACTTTTGGTGTCAAGAAACCCAGGTGATGATTTTGCACGTGGGATGCTGGGTTCAGCTTGGCTGCTTTAGTCGTCTTCTTCGCCCGTTTTCGTCTCGAAGTGGCTACAAAGTCGTAGTTGAGGGGATGCAACCCTCTTCTTGTTATCCGCTCTGCTTCGCACTGTTCTCATGCCGTGCCATATCGTTAAGTTGCCTTTATTTCTAGATTGCGTCCCAAAGCAATGTCATACGTTCAGTTCGCTGTTGCAGGAGGAGCTTAAAGGGGTGGAGTCGGCTGATGCGGAGCTTGATCACCGAAGCACGGCTGGGACTTTGAAGACCTCGGCGATGCCGTGCCCTCTAGTGGTCGGGTTGGACTTTCTCGAGAACTGAGAACTGAGAGCCTGTCAAAATCTCTCTTGGCGTTGGGCTTATTGCAGCGTGCAGTGCCTTCATGTTATGCGATGCAGAGTGGCTTTGATCGCGAGCCCTTGGTTTCTGAGGAGAGTCGCAGCTGAAAAGCAGCATGGGCCGGGTGTCCAAAGCCTTGTCAACGCAGCGGGAAGCCTCGCAGGAGAGCGGGTTCTTGGATGTGCTCAGGTTTGGGGAGAAGCCGTAGTGATTGAGGACAGGACAGTCCAATCTCGCTTGTTCCCTCTGCCATTGAGGTGGTTGAGGCAAGTTGGAAGCTTCTGAAGTCAGACCTTTCAGCAGGTGAGCTTGGTGACATTGCACCTCTGCCAGGAGAACGGCCTTGTTGCCGCTTGCCGACACCGAGTCCTTCTAGGAACAGTGGCGGCATCACGACAGGTCGAGGACTCACTGGACAGCTACAGACTATAGGTACTTAGCAGGAGTTCAATGGGTTTCGAAAGCTTTCTGCATGCGGCTTTCTGCACGTGTGTTCCTGGCGGCAAAGCTGGAATCATGCCGTCCTTGCACGCTCTGGTTGCAGCACCGACGGGTCCCGTGCCGCTCGGTGTGGGCTTCAGCAGGAGCTTGTTGCAAAGCGCGCTGCGGCCGCAGCGGACAGCACACACCCTGGCAAGAAGTGGCTTGGACCGCACACCCTCCGGGGATTTCCAAGTTCACCATGCCGCCCCATGCCGCAGGCTCTCCGCGCAGCAGAAGAAGGTCAGGTCTGCAACACTGGAGAGTGCTTGGCCCTCAGCTTCAGAGCTTGGGGGCTTTCCGTGTCTACGTCCTGTCTTCACATCTTGAGGACAAGACAAGATACAGGGAGCTGCAAGATCTCATATCGAGCTGGCAAGACCAGATCTGGGGACCGGGCCCTGGGCTCAGACTTTCTAGTGCTTGGAAGCATAGAGCACCCGGTGAAGTGCTTGCACGTGCACCCTCGGTTCGGGTTTAACGGTGAGTCTTCCTGCTAGCTTGGCCCTGCCGCCGCCCAGGCAGCGGAGCCCTTGTCTCCAACACCGCTGCTGCCGCTGCACTGCAAGCGGCGCATCTACAGGCTGTTAGCCTTGTGGAGGACAGCGTGGTTCTGTGACCATTCCCGCCGGGCAAGTGCAATACTTGTTACTGCGCTGCAGCCGAGACATTCCGCCACATTTAAGCGTGTCTGGCTGTGGCGTTTACATTAACTACATGCTACGCCTGCAGCAGCAGCCGCCGACGACGACGAAGACCTCTGCGATAGTGCAGAAAGTATGGAACAGAGCGGCAGGCCAGCCGTCACTCGGTGGTCAGATGCGCTCAATCTCAGAAGCTTGCGGCATGCTATTGCTGCTGCTGCAGCTCCACACTCCCCCCGCCGCCACGATGCCTTTCAGATGCGCAGCTGCTTCTGCTTAGGTTGCTCCACCCACAGCTTCTGTCAGTTCACATTCCGCATACGAATCGAGTACCTCAGCCGGGCTGACCTGATCTGGGAATTCGGACGTTTCGCATTCCTCCCCTACATGTGACTTTTCATTGACCAAAAGCAACACCTCACGAGACTGGTGTTTAGCAGTGTTGAAACCACGGCCTCAGCATGTCGTATTCATAGCTTCGCCAAAACCTCACTCCGACGGGAAGTTGAAGCCTCAGTCCGTGCAGGATGCACAGAAAGAGGCGGATGAGCCCCTCGGCCTCGACCATGGGAATGCGGGGCTTGAACTTGGAGGGTGGATAGCTTAGAAGCATCTTCTAACTTCCGTCCGCATAGTCTGAATAACCCAGGATCCCACCCAGAGCCGATGGACAGTCAATCCGACCACTTGCCTTAGTTTTGTCGCACTCCACCAACCCATGTTGTTTCCAGGATTGCAGCTGCCGAGTGCGGCAATCTGGGTCTGGAAGGCCTGGGCTTCTGATAGCCGATAGCCGATAGCCATTCTTCTTGCTGGCTGATGGCGTTGTTGGTGATCCAGCCTGAGAACCTGTAGTAGGGCTTCGAACTTTGTCCCAGCACCCGCCGCCACGGTTGAAAGGATTTTGGGGCCTGGCATCGCCATTCGCCAAGTCTTCCATCCGGCGGCAGATGAGCCGTTCTGCAGCGGGGTACAAAGTGATGCCACCCGGCTCCAGGTGAGAGCCACTGCTGCCCTTGCCATCAGCGAAGCCCTGATCCCTCCCCCTTGTTCTTGCCTTGGATGCGCCACGGAGGAAATTCTAGTAGTTGAGAAGGTATCCCATGCCAGCCTTTCCGGGCGACCATGTCGTCGGTTTAGTTTTGGTTGACTCTTTGGGTTGCACAAATCACGAAAGCTCCCTCCAGAGAGTCTTTCGTTCCAATAGCCAGAACTTGTTCTGCCAGAAGGCATTGCGGCCGGCCTGGTTGCACGCCTCCACAAGCTGCGCCTTTGTAAAACCACCCCATGTTTTCCCCGACACCTCCCGCACCTCCAACAAGGCGACCACATGCAGCTGGAGCTTTCGTCGCCCCCCCCGGGTCTCAAGTTGCATACTTTTTTGGGAGGGCTGTTTCACAAGAAACGTTGCACGACTCCGGCAGCAGAGGGCATGACAAGGATCTCGGTGACCCCGGGAAGAAAGCCGAGGCGTAGCAGTGTAAGGCCGCTGAAGTTGGCCTTTCCCTTGCTTATCTTCTGAGGCGTGAGCAGCTTTGTGAGAACCTGGAACGCCTTGCGGAGCTGCAATGCGCTGCAACTGTACGGACCCGTTGGAGCCTCAGATCGGTCAGAGTTTGTCGCAGTTAGAGCCTTAGGCATGTTTTCGGCTGACCAGTATGAGAGGGTACTCGATGTCCCGATGTCCCCCTAAGGGTCGTGCACATGTCATAAGAGGCCCCTAGGCCCAAAATGCCAAAAAACGCCTGGCATTTTGGCTCTCAGGCTGCGGCTCTTTGACCTCGGCGTCAACGGGCCATCATGGCTTCGGCTTCAGCGAAGGCCAGCCCTTCCTGCCTCTCTCGTACACAGCGGCCCCCTTGTTCCTGAGATCAGCTTCTAAGTCTTGGTGTAGCTTAGGCTCGTCTAGGTCGGCTCAGCAGTGGTTGTTGCTTGGGAGCATTGCCTTATGGGGCTGCTGCAGGAGGAGCAGGCAACCTCAAGGATGGACGGAATACAAGCGCACGAGTCCCTTCCAGCTTCCAGTCTGGCATGCGTGCAGATGCGCATGTGGGAACATGCAATGGCACAGTGGACAAGACCTCCAACAATGTTAGCCTCCCGTTGCATTAACCGAGAAACACGTCCGTACTGAATTTCCCGTGTTGTTAGACTCTCACACACGACCTCGAATTCGACAACCGCTTAATCCATCCGGGCGCTGCGTCCTGAAGCTTACACCCCATGCAGAACGCCTGGCAAATCCCCACGCACCCGACTCTCGAAAGGGAGAACACCGGCGAGAAATTTCAAAAAAAACTCGGAGAGCACGGAAGGCTCTGGCTCCGACTCGCTTGGTGCCTAGTTCTCTCAGGGCTTGGAGTGGGGGTTCGAGGTTTGGGTCGGTTTGACGGCCTTGGGGAGTACACTCCATGACTTTTTGGTGGGTCGTCTCTAGAACTAGAAGCGTCTAGGTCTAGGCCCAGGGCAGCAAGCGAAGTGTCTAGATGTCGCCACTGTCGTGGAGCTCCGGTTTCTTTGAGCCCTCCGAGGTCTCGGGAGTCGCAGGATGTCGCCAGGCCAAACAGTGGCCGGAAGGCGGATAGGAAGCCAGAAGATGGGATCTAAGGTCACAGTCATAGCTCAGGTCGAACTCCTATAGCCTCTTTTACGAAGTGCTCTTCAGGAAAGCCCTTTCCAGGCCTTAGAGTCCAAGTTCCGCGTTCAGTTCGCATTTGCATGCGTAGTCGTTGGCCTCCTCGGCCAGCAGTTGTCGCACAGCCCATGCACCATTCGGCTGATGTGCCACTGGAGCAAGGGCCAGGCTTTCGCCCCAGAACTATGCTGGCAGTTTTTTTTCTCACAGTTGTTCCCAGCCACGTGTCACAGTTTTCGACCTATGGGGCGAGAAGGCGCAACTGTCAGTTGTACAATGATCATCAGTCCATCGCCCAGCGCTTTGGATCCAGTCTTTCAACGCACGGTCGACGTGACAGTCCCAAAGTGGTACGGTGCTCTTTTTTTCTGAAGGGCCAAGGTTTCACGGTGACAGTGGGCCTGGACTCCAAAACTGCGAGGTCTGCGAGGTTGACTTATGCTAGATGCTACATACTTCCCGCCTGTCTCACTCCGCGCCTGCTCCCCTCCTCCCTCTTCTCCCCTTCCGATCTCGCCCTGTGGTTCTTTGTTTGTCCCTCCTGTCTGACTCTGTTCCCGCGCTCTATCATCAAACGAGATACTTTGTTGAAATTCAGCCGTGTCAACCCTAGCCACTCTACATCTCGCTCAACACTTGTTTGTCAGTCGTTTGTGTGGTTCTTCGGTGCTTCGTTTGCTATTGCGTGCTTGCACATGACACAACACTAGGTCAACAGACGCCTGCACATATATAATCATATATATATTTATAGATATAGATATAGATATAGATAGAGACGGACAAGGACAGACACATACAGGCAGGTACGCATCAATGCGTGCATGCAGAGCTCCTAATGTAGGCATCGATGCGTGCATGCAGCGCTCCTTCTGTAAACAGGAAGCCGTCTAAGTAAAGGCAGTTCATAATCTAGTCTTCTCCATCTGTCTGTCTATCCGTCTGCCTATTCATGTTTATGTGTGTATATACATATATATATATATGCACAGCTAGGTATATATATATATGTGTGTGTGTATATGAGTAGACATACGTACATACATAGAAACAGACCTACCGTACGCAGGCGCACACAGAGAAACAGAAATGTATATCTCTTCGTATTCACATTTATACATATGTGTATGAATGCATGCATGCATGTATGTACGTATGTCTTTAGGTGAGTGTGCATGCATGTATATATATATGTATGTATACATGTATAGACCTGTATAGATGTATACATACATACATACATACATACAGACAGACAGACAGACAGACAGACAGACAGACATACATACATACATACATACCTCTCTCTCTCTCTCCCTCCTAGAGGTAACCTACCCAAGTTGTATATTGAAAGTGCGAGCGAAAACAATCCGACCAGATGATATGTGTCAGCGTGCAAACTTCTTCCGTTGAGGTTTGGTCGGGCTCGGCCCCAGCCCCGGAAATCGAACGCCGATGCCGAGGTTTAGTATCGAAGTGACAGAGCTTTCAGGTGTTCCCACGCTCTACGCACTCTGAACTCTGCAGTCTGGCAAGTGTACTCTCTTGCTTAAGGCATCGCGCCTGTGAAGTTCCTCGGCCTTGTCGTGGCGAGCCCCGCCATGCAGTGCAGCAAAACGGAAGTGTCTCCCACAGGACTGTTCGTAAGTTGGGCAGCCTTGCGATTTAAGCCGTGCAAATCCGCCGGAGAGGCGGCCTGTGTGCTTCTGACTCAAGGCCTGTGTTTCCTGGCTCCCACAAGTCAGGTAGAGCATCGTGTAGTGCCGATGCAAACAGACACAACCTAACCCACGACACACTGACATGTTGCAAAAAGCTGCAGGGTGTTTTGCATGGAATGTTCAGGGCAACCCTTTTGAACAGGCAGTATTTTGCTTTGGGACCACTCGGTCATGACCAAATTGTTTCTCGGAGTGTACGGCTATGTCAGAAACCGGCACCAACAACCGAGCTGCTGCGAGCAGTCAGTAGAATCTGGCAAGCAGATGAATCCGACCTAGTTGCCAAAGGCCAGCTGCTGCTGTTGTTGCATGATCCATGCATTGCAGATGTTCAGGCGGTAGCCCGTCCTGTCGCCGTTCAACATTTATGCTGCCGGAGAGCGGCACATGTTTCCATGCAAGTTTCACAGGTAATGACTGCATCGTCGCCAAGCATCTTCCCGAGCATTGCCCACGTCCCAGTTGGAAAGTATGAAGCCCTCCACTTTGCAAAACCAAGTCCTCGAAGAAGACTGGCCGAAGCAAAGCCGAAGCCAAGGGCCAGATCGTGCGGCGCTGTGTGGGGCTGCTGCGCGCGATTGACCTGGCGCTTGCCCCAGTGCTTGAACGACCGGGCAGCGACACTTGAGCATGTGAATGCCCCTGTGCGAGATGTGCGCAGCATGACAAGATGCCGTCCCCAGGTTGCTATGTCCCCTGCCCTGGCAGTACTCACTAATTAATGAATTGAGCGTCCAAGCCGACGGTTTCAGCAGGACGGCTCAGGTCCACAGCTTTAGGTGCTACACGTCCCTCGTGCTGCTTGTCGACATTTTGAGGCGACGGCATGTCATGCTCAGAAGCAACAGGAGTAAGCTAGGTGCAGTTTTTCAAGGAAGCTGATCCATCTATCTTGAAACTGGAAGTCGATGAAGTACCAGGCGATGCAGGAAAAGTTTGTAACAGTGTTGCGGAGAGAGTCCTACATTTTTCAGTTATTACGCACATTCAATGTAGATGCTCGGTTGTACGGCTCGGGTGCAGCAGTGCCACAAGCAATGCAATCGCGGTCATTTCTTCAATGCTACTACAGCTACTACTACTACTATTCAATATTACTACGACGACGACGACGCAGACGACGACTTCTACGACTCAGTAATAGTTGTTATAATAATAATCCTGCTAGGACTCATCAGAATAATTGGAATAATGAGTGTAACAATAATGAGAATAAGAATATTGAGGAGCATGATAAAGAGTAAGACCAATAAGAACAAGAAGAATTCATTATGGGTAGCAAAACGACCAAGAATACCAACAGTAACAGCAGTATTTATCATGACAAGGATGCTTGTGTAGGGACATGACAACAAGCAAACAAGAGTAATGATAATACTGACAACAAGGGCAACAATAATAGCAACAGCAACGGCACAAAGCTTTACGAGAATCATTGTGTGGCCTGCTAGACCTTGGCAGCAAACCGTGCCTTGCACAAGCAGGTCATGTCCTTCGTGATAAAATGCTGGTACCCACACCTTCCTCGGCCGGTTTGTGACACTGCGGTGATAAGCCCACCTTGTGGCGATCTGCTCCCAGTGGCAGTTTGTAAAACTGCAGTGGTATCCCCACTGCTTAGGTCGTCTGGTTCCCATGGCGCTTGTCAGGCCTATTCGTTCGTTCGTACTCAGTCATGCGCTTTTGGCTATCGGTGCTTACTTTACCTTTTTGACCGTTGCGTTGGTTTGCTATCTCGACTTTGCGCCTTTTTGCCGGAGGCGCTCTGCTTCGCTCCGTTCTGGTAAAGTTAAAGTTGCACTCCCACTGGCGTGTTGAACCACTCCTGGTTGCAGAGACCAGCCCCTGGAACAAATCTCGGTCTGACAGAGCCAGGAACATGCGTCCACCTTTACATCTAGTCTAAACATGTCCAGAGCCAGGAAACTACGTCCACCTGTACATCTAGTCTAGGCACGTCTAAACCACCGGCAGCCAGGCATGGTGCACACTACATGGTGCTGCCGTCCATGCTTGAGGCACTTTTTTTCCTCAGACTGCGAGGGGCAGCTGGCAGAATCCGGACACTCTGCAGGCTGTTTTGCGGCGCTCGCATTCCAGCCCTGAGCCTAGCAGCGACCGTGCTGTCGCCCTGCAGAAGTCTTGTCACCTGAGCGCAGAGGCCGTGCTGTCGGTTCTAAGTGCTAAGGCCATGCCGGTCACGCAGCAGGTGCGGCTTCTCCGTGAGGTCTTGAGGTCTTTGCTGTCAGTTTGACATTATTGGAACACTAGACTCGCGAGTTTCAGGGTGCTTTGAGGGCCCGGATCGAAGAGCTTCTTGTTGCAGGACACATATGCTTTCGAATCCTCATTCACGGTCGCTGGTGCCTAGCCGGTGGTAGTGATTGTCGGATGCTCGTCGTCATGCCTGGCCAGGTGCAGAAGGCTCCGAAATCGCTGCGGCGACGGCCGCCGCGGCTTTGGGATTCCTGCTGACGGCATTGAGCCAGGTGGGTTTCCAACAGAAAGTTTGCCGAAGGCTCTTGGGCCTTGTTTGGGAGGGGGCCTTGTTTAGGAAGAGATGGAGAACACTTTTTTGTTGGTTTTGGTTCCGGCTCTCTGGCTTTTGGCTTCGCAGCTTTCTTGCTTCCGGGTGTTGCTTGGCTCGGTTTGGCTTGGCTCGGCTGGGCTCATGAATCCCGTGCAATGCTGCAGCTTTGCACAGGAAGTCTCAGGCGCTGAACTGAAAATCCCCCTTCCGGAACCGCAAGCGCCACAAGCCTGGGGTTGGTAGGATTGTGGTCGGATCCTTCCCCGTTTTAGAAAGCTTTACATCACGTGACCGCAGGCGCCAAAATCCTGTGGGCAAGGATCATGTGTTCAGAAACCCGCTTTCCAAACCTGGACGAAGCGTCATGATGCGAGAATAAACCTCGTACAGTCCATCAGCCCTAGAGCCCTTTTCGGCCCAACCTAAACCCCAAACCCGAAACCCTGACCCCTATGCCCTGCCCCCTGAAAAAGAATCTTATGCAGACTGACACAGACTGATGATCTTGAAGCTTTAGAAAATGCCGATGACGCCCACCTTCCGATACTACTCCCAAAAGATAGTTGGTACAATTTCAGTTTGTTTGCATGGTTACATCATCACGTCTGAGCTAGCACATGTTTAAAAGTTATTATGAACTTTACATTTCTACTGAAAGTTCGCAGGCTTCGAAAGTGAGCTTGCAGCGTTCGGGTCATGAGGTCAATGGGCAGCATGAGGGGCCTTGGAGCCAATGAAATGTGGGGGTACATTCCCTAGTAAATTTGCTGGTAACATCTTGAGAGGGATTTCGTTCATAGGCTTCGGGAGTGTTTTGGATCTTTCAAGGATGTTTTCTCTGATGGGTGCAAAAGCTACTTCTGTTTCCCCACGTCTGCTGGTTTGGCTGCTGACGTTCCTTTGCACACCTCGTTATCTCAGGGTTCAACTTGTAGGCCTCAGGTTGCGCAGGGCGTCGGCCCATCGGGATTGTTGGACAGTTGGACCTTGAGTGGCTCCGCAGCTGTGGCTCGAAAACCTCACCATGGCGCTGATTGGCGCGTGGCACTGCCTACCGGGCGCGCGGTAGGCACTGCCGGGGCCTACTGGGGCGAGGGGATGCCTGGGGAAGAGAAAGAGAAAGCAAAGGGAACGAGAATCTGCAGAAAGAAAACCAGGGAAGGTGACAGAAACGCGAAGGACCCACGAGCACCTAATCTGTGGAGGCCGCTGGGCACCAAGACTATGAGGCATGCACTTGCACTACACAGTGCGGAGTCCGAAGCCGCTGAAAGAATGAGCGAAGATCGAGCGAAGACAGAGGCACGGACACGGAGAGGCAAAGAGATGGAGACAGGGCATCCAATAAGGAGTGCAAACGAGCAGTTTGAGCTTTAATCCAGTTCTCCTGGAGGTCCCCAAATTTTCTGAGCGGCGTGAGGGGCCGACATGCCGGGGACGGAGGAGAGCATCAAGGCAAGGCCACTAATGTTTCCATCACGCCCGAAGAAACTGCCCTGAACACGGCCTGTCAGTTCTGTATGTGCAACTCTTGTCGGAGGTTGCCGTCCGGGCTCGGCCTCTGAACCTACGAGAAAAGAAGCTCAAATGCGACATTGTCGCGCCTTTGCGAAATGTTTGACGGTCCCAGAAGCCCTCTCGGCAGATGCTCGTGTGGCTGCACACGGGCTATGATTCCAGGGTCCCGTGTGCACAGTGGGTCATCAGCAGTTGCAGAAACCACTTCCGGATTCGACGGAATTTCAGGGCTTGCCGAGTCAATGCGAAGTGTTCGATGTTAGATAGGTCTTGCTGAGTCCTGACTATGGACGTGGGTGTTTGCCAAGGTGTCGATGAGTGGGAAGACCGTCACAGCAAGCCCAGACAGGACCACAATAATGCTTGGGTCACCCGGACCGTTCTCGGGTAGCTTGGGCATGTTTCCTAGCACCAAGAGCCCTCTCAGGAATCCGAAGCATTTCACTTACGACTACACGCGTCCTGGAAGCAAGAGTATCTCATGGAACAGCACTGCAGCACCTGGAGAGCACCGAGGTTTTGGTCCGTCGGCGAGGGACAAGGTACCCAAGCAGAGATATTTGAGGACATCGGCACACCCATGGTGTCGCTGCTTGATGGCGCACTAGTGCTGATTGTCATTCCGGTTGAAAGGAGTGAAGCGTCCTGAGCCCTTGCATTAAGATCCCACTTTGCAAGATTGCTTGCTGAGGAATGCTGTGGATGGTTTCAACTGCACTCTTTTCGCCTATGGGCAGACGGGCAGTCTCTTGTCTGCTTTAATGCCGCGAAGCCCTGGTCAGGGTTGGGTGAAGCTATGATGGCAAAGAGAGGGCATCTGATCCTGTGTTGCGAGATCAGCCTTGTTGCTCCCTTGCACGTGCCGGAGGGCCTAGACGGACCCAAACAAAACCCCAGGGCGGGAAGAACGAACTGAACCTTGAAAGAGTCTAAGCATACCCCGACAGGTGGCAAGAGCTACACCATGATGGGTGGCGTCCCGACTGACGAAGGGGATGCAGGCACGGGGCATGTGGTCTCGAAAGAGGAGTTGGCGGAGCTTCAGATCTCGTCCTGCATGGCTGATTGAATATGACGGTGTCTTTGCTACTTTGTCCAGGTGTGATCCCACGCATGATCAGCGGGCTCTTCGAAGAGAAGGAGCATCGCTGCAAAGGGCCGGACCCGTAGCTAGCACAGGGAATTGAAGCCGCAGGATTTAAAAGGCTCAGGTTTTTGCATTCAGGAGTTTAGGGTTTAGGGCAGAACGGCATGATGCTTCTTGGCGTGAACTCGGCAAGCCTGCGGAAAAAGGGCACCCGTCGAAGACATCCGGCACTGGTACACTCACGCTGAGCTGGCTTTGGCCCAGCACATGTTCCAGGCGACGCGAGATCAGAGAAGACGAAGATTAAGTAGTACGTAGTATCTGAAGGGTGGCAACAAAAGTCAATGTCACTGGCTCATCTCTGAGACGTTTGATTCGCAAGTTGATGAATGGCTTCTTCACTTCACTTTGCTCCGGAAAGATGGGCTGTTGACATCCCAGAATCCACAGAGCTGAAGTTGTCCGAAAGGCGTGTGCTCAGTGTGCACCACAATGCAGGAAAACGACACGTGCCGGCCCGGATCTGACCCAAACTGAAACAAAGGCATCAGACCATGATTGGCATGCCCAGAGCCCCAGAGCTCTTTCACATTGTAAGTACGGATCTCACAAAGTCTCTGATGACTCTTTACTGGCATGGCTGACGACCGTGAAGCATTATCAACATGGCTGCGACCACCAGCATCTACACCCAGCCAAAATATTCGGAATCAGTAGAAGGGCCTTGACCGTGCTCTTGAAAAGCCAGGACCGGCTCGAAGAAGACGCCCTGGTTGAGCTCCAGGCCACAAGTGCAGGGCGAATTTTTTAAACATATCCAATCAGCTGCCATTTTGTTTTGCTGGGGCCTGTCTGCAGGGGTTCATGAAGCGGGATGCCTACATGGTGTAGAAGATAACAGCCGGCATCCTCCGAGCCACCACTGTTACTTTTGAGGGGTCTGACGGCTCTGGCAGTCGAGAGATTGTACAGGCAACGAGGCTCGAAGTTTCAGCCGGAGCAAACCGCAGTTCCAGTATGTATTGAAGGCATAGTACGGCAGCACCACCAGCCGGGCCTCTGTTCTGTTCTAGACTTACTGGGCGTTATCAGCGGTCATGGTAGCATGTCGCAGCTCCTTCGAGGTTCGGATTTCATACCTGGAGATCTACAAGGACTGGCCCCATGTGTCATTGAAAATTTGCCCTGCAGAGCTGCTCGTTTTTCGTCGTGTGCTGAAGGCTTGCAGGCTTTTAGAGACTCCAGGTCTGTTGGTGTATCCAGGCAGAGGCGCGGCTGCGGCTGGCAACACCTAGGCTATTGTTTTTGATGTCATGAACATTCCTGAAACTTGCCAAAACCTTAATGGACCCTGCACACTGTGCCACGATCTGGACACCCTTTCAACACTCTATTGCTCCTGCTGTGGCGTCTCCTTCCTTCTCTGGGCCAGATCTGCATGTCCTTCACGCCCTCCGCAAGACGAGCGGATTGCCTTCGATGCATCCTGCGGTCCTGCTGCTGCTGCTGCTGAGCCCAGAGAGTCATTCACACATCTAGCCCGAACTTCTGCAGGCAAAGCCTGACGTCTGCAAGACCCGATGCCATAACCAGAAGGGTGCCTGCCCCTCAACCCCAAACCTTCACAGCCAGGCTTGTCCCGGTTGTAAGTGCTGGCCCTAAGACCTGAACCCCGCACATGATTAGAGGTTCTTTTCTAAATGGTGATGTCTTGACACAGATCTTGAGCTCGAGTTGGTTTGACTTGTCGGCAGTCCTCGAACCACATGCCTCGCCTGGGTTGTCCGAGTGTAAGCCCCGAAACCCTACACCCCTAAACCATAATAGAAATGTCTCATCTCATCCGACCACGCACCAACAACCTCGCCTAGCTTGTTCGAGTGTGAGCGCCGAAAATACCACCACAGGAGCAGGTCACCGACTTGTTTGCGTCTCTGAGCGCAAACAAGGAGAACAAGGCCGGTTAGGAGAGAAGAGAGGGGCTCAGGGGTTCAGGGGTTCAGGCGTGGTTTCGGTATGTTCAGGTATTGAGCGGCTAAGGGTTTAGGGTCTGGGTTTGGGTTTGGGGTTCAGCTCGAAAGACGAGCTTTTTTGGGTTGCTTTTTGTTGTTCACCAAAACGCGTCGCAACTTGGATCAAGCCAACCTGTCTAAGGGGTTGGTGTGTAGGGCTTGGCTATTTCACCTCTGTCTACACGGCCGCACTACTTGTAAAGGTCTCCAGTTATGAGTTGTGAGCTTGTGTTCAAGCCAGCCCCAAGTAAGCTTGCTGAAAAACACTGAGACAAGCTTGATGCGATCCGTTTGGAAGTAGAGGCTCTTTAATAGCACTTTGGGGTGCCTGCAACAGGGGATGTGATTGGTTTGCAGGCTCTGCAAGGCTTCTCAGCGGGTGCGCACGGTTGTTCTGCACAGCTCCCGCTGTGGCGCAGCGTACGTTTTCGGTTTGTCTGACTCCTGAAGTTGAGCAGCTTGCTCCCACGGTGCCGTGCAGATCTTGTGTGCGACTCGTTTGCACGCCTCCCAAAAATGGGGCTGCGGCCATAATCTCTCATTATTTGGCGTACGACTCGTGTTCCTGCCATGGTCCTGTGCGAGTTCCGGGATGCCACTTGTGCTCCCCTCCACAGTGTGGAATGCGTTTAACCCAACATGTAAACACCAGTGCACAAAAAAAAGAAAATATAAATACACACAGCAACACATGAATACTATATTTATGTAATTATGTATTTATGTATGTCTTACTTACCTATGTATGTTCGTGTATAGATAACTAACCATCTATCGATTCACTCATCTATCTATCTATCTATCTATCTATCGGTCTATCGATCTATCTATCTATCTATCTGTTTATGCGTCTATCTATCCATCTATCTATCTGTCTAGCCAGCTAGCTAGCTATCTATCTTTGTATCTATTTATCTATATATAAGTAGAAGTATATGTATCTGTATCAGTATATGTATGTTTGTATGTGTATGTATAGTATGCACACACACACACATATATATATATACATGGAAATATTAGCAGCTTGAGCAGAGACTGGTGCAGGTTATGAGGCTTGTATAGAGCTAGGCAAGACTTTGGTGCAGCGCCCGAAAGAAAGAGTTACAATCGTGGAGCAGCAGTTCAGCTTTCAACCTCTGGTTTGTCCAGGGCGAGAATCTAAAGATCATGGCCGCTCGGACTGCAAATGAGCTGAGGGCTCGCTTCCCAGCAGCAGAATGCCGGTGACAGGAGTACCTTCATTTCACGTTGCCGGCATGTGACCACAGCGACATCACAGCTTTTCTGTGGATTCTGGCATGCGCGTATTGCTGGTCCAGGAGCACCCCAAGCTGGGTGTCTATGTGAAAGGCCTGTACCATATGCCCTGCGCCACGAAGGACGAGGTGATGCGCAACTCGGCGTCGGTGCGACATGAACTATGCAGAGACGGGTTGAAGCATGAAGGGGACACGGCAGCCCGTTTGATCGTCTGTTGGCATTAACAGGTAACTTGGAGTACGGGCTGAAGATGAGAACGATCGCTGCCACGAACATGAATCAAAGCTCCTCGCGCTCGCATGCACCCCGTTTGCATCTGTCGTCGGACGAGGTTGGATGCGATGTATCCTCTGCTTGACTGACGTTAGATTTTCTGGCAATTTCGAGTTTCCCAGGCGGTCTTCACTATCATCGTCAACAGGCTCGAGGGGGAGCGCCCCAAGGGCAAGAACGGCAAGGACGAGCGCAAGTCGCTCTCTGCTTCTGAGTCGCATTCTAGGCAGCATGCTGTCGCGCTTACTTCGTGGATGAGTGCTGGCAGAGCCCAGGCCAAGATCAACCTTATTGATCTCGCGGGAAGTGAGCGCACTTCCAAGGCAATTCGGTAGTCTTAGTGAGTTTTTCCGAGCTTGTGACGTGGTATCCTGTCGCATCCGTTCTCAAATTGAAGTTACTGCATGCAATCGTCCCCGCAGGCGCAGACAGAGAACGACCGCTTGAAAGAGGGTTGTGCCATCAACCAGTCCAAGACTCAGGGCCTGCTTCGAAATTCTCGCCTCACCAGAGCCCTTGAGACAGCATGTGTCTCGAGTGGATTGCCGTCTTTGAATGTATGCCACACGTTAGAGAACGTGCACCTTGGTCAGACTTGATCCTTTACCCGGCCGAGTGCCCAAGGAGCCTGTCTCAGCTTGGCCTGGTGATCAAGAGACTTGGCCCCAAACAGGCCTTGTCATGAGACATCGCCTCGAGATCCCAAGCCAATTTGGTTTGTCGTGCTGATGACATTTCTCTATTTTGCTCATGGAATAGATGTCCTCCCTGTCCAACGAATCTTTCTCTTGCTCTCGTTGACAGAGAGCAATACTTGCTTCCCTTATCGAAGCTCGATAAGATCTGGCACGCGACACGTTACTAAAAACATCCGGTGTTGCGGTGAGATGTTCAGTGTATCTAGCTGTCAGTTGCCAAGGATGTTGACAGAGCAAAGCAGCGGTGGCTTGAAAGCTCCTATGTTCCGCGCGTCGAAGCTGACCTTCCTCTTGAAGGAGCTGCTACCGCCATCAGTGATTTCACCAAGCAGGGCAGCCCCTGACATCGCATAGTACCAACAGAGCCATGCTGCAAAGGCTTGGAACTGAGGATCTTGGTAGGATTTTGCTGAGAGACGATTAAATACGTATTATGAAGGTATATATATATATATATCATATCTCAATAACGTGCTGTTGGGCATGTTGGGTTCTCACGGCTTCACTGCTCGATTCTCGTGCTAAACTGTCAGCAGCAGGCGAAGCGCACCGATCTGAATGGCACGCCGAATTGAGCCCTTACGCTGCAATCCCTGCAGGACTCGCTGGCTGGCAACTCAAAGACCTGCCGCTTCACTTCATTGTAGGTTCAGCTATCTTCTTCTGCTGGCATGCTTGTCGTGTCTGCTGAGCTTTGCTGTGGTGCGGCCAAAGTCGACACCCAGGCATGATGGCCACGGTTTCACCCGCCAGCGACTCTCATCTGCACGTAACGAAGCTGCTCAACGCAAGCATACCGATCAGTCTGCTGGGCGAGACTGCTACCACCGAGGACAACTACGATGAGACAGTCTCGACACTGAGATTCGCCTCGTCGGTCGGAGCCTGATGTGCCAGCCGCTGCATTTCCAACAGCCTGCGAGGGCCCTCCCCTCTGAGCTCTCCTTAAGGTCAAAAGCATCAAGACAGTGGCTGTTCAAAACAAGAACAAGAAGGATCAACTCATCGATAACCTACAGCAGGCGCGGTGTGCAGAATCTTTCATCGGTCGCCGAAAGAAGTCCGGTTTCTTGATTGCCAGGAGATGCGACTTCTGAAAGCGCAGATGGCTGCCGGAGGTCTGAACGAAACTCTGCCGCACATGTTGCGGTGCTGTTAGCATTTACAAGTTCCCTGCCTGCTGCAGCTGCGCAAGTCCTCCGTTTGATCAAGACCCTCCTCCTTCCCCTCACCTCACGGCTTCAAGGTCGCCGAAGCATCGGAGCAGTTGAAAGAACGCGAGAGACTCATCAAGGACTGAAGGGCACCAGCGCATCAGAGCCCTTGCTGGTTTCGGAAAGTTTGTTTTTTGTCAGGAGCAGACGCAGCAAGACTTCCAGGAGGAGCTGAAGGCCAACCCTGGGCCCAGAACAGCCAAGGGACCTCGCACGGCCACACTTCGTGGCCAGTCGTACTGCTTTCTGCATTTCAGGAGAAATTCCCGAGGGTTTCTAAGCGGGCCCGACAGAAGCTGCCCGAAGAGCTCAGCCCCTTTTCCGAGCTCCTTCAGACGAGAAAAAAGGCCCAAGTGAAGCCCCCCAAGCCCTTCTCAAGTCCGGCTCAAAGCCCTGAGAGTGAGCCCCCCGGGGAGCCCCGAAGCCGAGCTTTTTGTTGCGCGGAGGCCGCTCGAGAGATGAGCCGGGCCCGGGAGAAGGCCTTGGAGGAGAGCGGCCTCTCCCACGGCCACATCACCGAGGCCACGTGCATCAATGTGTATGTATGTGTGTGCGTGTGCGTGTGTGCGTGCAGAGGCCAAGAACCGACACAGTCTCGTAAAGATGCCTACATGGATAGACAGATCGATGGATGGACGGATGCATGGATAGAGTTTAGGTGGAAGGCGCTGTCTGGCAGGATTTGGACTTGCGGTGACGCTTGCAAGTGAGCTTAGCTCCTCAAAGTTGTTTCGAAGTACTCGGGACCAGCATGAGGCCCTTGTCCTGTGTGGAGCTGACTGCGAGTTAATGTGGCTTTGAGGCCTTCGGAATCAGCAACGGCCAGCCCTATATGGTGAACATGGCCTTCGACCCTATGCTGGCCGGATGCCTTATCTACTTGATCCAGGCATCGGTGAGACGACTATGGACTATTCAGGTCTGTGCGTAGGCACTCCGAGGCAGATTCGGCGTAGGAGTTGGCAGTTGGCTAAGCGCCGCCAGAAGCTTTAAAAGCGTGTGCGGACAGATGGATCTTTCTTACATGCAGGAAAGCAAGCCGACAACCATGGGCGCCAACAAGGACAACACCATCGTCTTGAAAGGCGCCGGTGATGGGTCAGGACTTCAGTCGAAGCCGCATCAAAGAATCCGAGAAGGTCAAGGTCTGTCAGGTGTATCATAACATATTGTAACATGACATAACATGACATAATATATTATAACGTAATATAACATAACATAATATAGTATAATGCAGTATGTAGGTTGGAGTGTGGATCTTGGCGGCCGCCAGATAGCACTTGTCTTGCACAGGTCTGGGGATGCCAGACTTCCTCTGCCGCATCGATGTCTTAGAGGCCGGAAGACGCACTCAGTTTGAAGGGCATGCGGCAGACTTGCAGAAATGATGCCTTTTTTGAGGGGGGGGAGGGGGGCGGCGGCAGCTCAAGTCTTCGGGAACTTGAGTGTGCTTCCTCTTGTTTCAGTGGAGCACAAGCTGCATGCGAACCCAGGCAGGGGGGCTGAGCCTCACGCGCCTGTCCGATGGGGCGAGAGTGTTCGTGAATGGCGCGCGCCTCAGGGTCCAGAGTTCATGGCTCATGGAAGCTCCTTGCGTGAGATGAATGACAAGCTGGACATGAATACAGACAAGAGGGCACCATCTTCACATAACATGTGCTTTGAAAGGGAAGCTGCTCGAGCAGAACCAGATGCGGGAACTTCAAGACGGCATCTTGGCACGCGAGTCTACTGCGATTGACGCCAACATCCCCACAGTCTGCTGTTGGGATTTGTCCTGAAAACCTAATCAAGGTGACCGTATCTCGCTGGGCCGCACCTATGTCCTGAAGCTTCCTGGCAAAACGGTGTATTGTATCCGGCTGTCTATGAAATCCAAAGGGGTGCACTAAACTGGCACGTGCGAGATGACCGCTGTAAAACATGGCGCTGCTCTGGCCCATGTCGCCGACACCTGTAGGGCGTTGGACCTGGGACCTCAGGAGTCAGGGACGGGTCACTGCAATCAGTACGTGGCCGCATAGTAGTTTCGGCTTGAAAACATTCCGCTACCAGAATTCCTTCGTCTTTGCTTCGGGAATCAGGGTAGTCTATGCAGGATTGCATCCATCTCAATTGAATGTAAGCATCATCCTGCAACGGTTCGCATGGAAGTAGCCTGCAAAGGCTCGTTTGTCCTGGTGAGGGCGGCGCCGCCCCTCTGCAGGACAGCAAGGTTTCGAGCATCCGGCTGCAAGGCTTGTGCAAAGTCGAGCGGGTTTGAAGCCTTCTAGCATCAATCGATTTGGGGTTCCCCACGTGCAGCGTTTGGCACGGCTCCTGCCAAGTCTTAGCAGGATGACCTAGTGCTGCAGCGCGATGAGACGGACACCGCGGAGCTGCCCAGCGGCCCTAGATCGGTCAACGGATGGACCGCCTTTTCAAGATTCCGACAACCCAAAGCCTCAGAGTCCAGATTCCACTAGGGCACGGCAAGGCTGGAAAACTCGCCGTCCTGGAAGAGCCTTCAAGACTATGTGGGGCAAGTCGTCCGTCAGATGAGCCATGACTGCATCAGCTATGCCTGTTGGTGGAGCGCTTCCGGCACGGAAGGAAAGCTGTCCGAGAGTGTGCAATCGTGGTCCCAGGTCAGCTCCGATGGCCGCTGCCTTGATGGAGGAGATAAAGCCACTTTGCTGAGCACAGCTTACAAGTGCCTGCTGTACACAGCATGGGAGGGAGCAGCTGGGTAGCTGGTTTCAGGCAAGCCTGTCGCCTCACCGACGAGGCGTGACACGGAAGCTTGGAGTTGCCACTCACTAGGTTCTAGATTCAACGCAGTTGCTGGAGTTTTGCCCGAAAGCTGAACTGGAAGACTGTTTGGGGAGTCCGATGTGTCCGACAGGCAAACGAAGTGACGACGGAATGTCGATCCGGCTCCGACGCTTTGCACTTCGAGGTGGACTTAACCAGCAGTATCCCTCCGCTCCTTTGCTGAGACGGGCGGTTGCTGCGGATACTTTGTTTTCTGTCGACCGGTATTGCAAGAAACGTTTGCAAATTCTTGCCTCCTCAGCACAACTGGCGACTCGTCGGTCAACAGACTGGCCAAGTTCAGTTCAGCCGAACCGAGGTGTGTTGCCATCCGCGTTCTGCAGTGTGAATGTGAAGATGGTCCTGCCCGGGCGAACGAGGAGCATTGGAAGAACAAGTGCCCAGCGGCAAGACGCTGCGAGTCGTCCGAGCACAGCTGCGAGTCAAAGCACTGCTCTACGTGACGAGAGTGCGAGTGAGGGTGAGCATCGGCCCCATTGGCTCTGATGGTTGGAGCCTCCGGCCGCAGGTACATTTGGTCTGTAAGCCAGCTGGCAGAACGGCTGGAGCGCATGCGAGACTACTGGCGGCAGAAGGACAGCAGCCGCCTGGCTTGCAAGTTTCTAGCAATCAGGGTCTCCCAAGCTGCGCTCATATGAGATTTCTGAAGACCTAATCACGGCGTGGCCCGCCCTTTTCGGGATTGTCCAAGAAAAGTGCTGGTGGTGGCGGCGGTGTGGTCGCTGTGGTGGTGTTCGTCGTCGTTGAACAATTCCCAAGGGGAATAAACTATGACAAAATTCCTAATTTTCATCATATTTATGAGAAAGTGCCATAGCTTAAAGTTCATCAAGAAAACATTGGGTATTAGGAAGTTTCAAAGTATCCAAGGAATACCTAGGTAATCTATTCCCGATCTAGTGGAGGAATGAGAATAAAAAATACATATGTGTATATATATATATATATACACATGTATGTACATAATACATATATAGAGAAAGATATATTCATAGGTCTTTTGTATATATCTCAATTCAGGCGGAGGCCGCTTGACAAACCCAAGTCTGTTGAAACGTGCTGCATGCTAAAGGTGCAGTGGAAGAGCTCAATCCGCTCGAGGATCCCTGGCACGAGGCGAGGCAGATGCCATCGCACATGCCTTACCCTGGCCCTTCATTATCGCACGTGATCTCTCCCGAGATATGCACTGCAGGGAACGTCTTTTCGGAAATCGAAAGCTGTAGGCCTACTCCATGCTACTATATTATACCACATTATACTACATTATACTATATCGTACTATATCGTACTAGAGTCTACTATAGTCTACTATATCATACTATATGATACTAGTGGACCAGAGCCTTCTTGAGCGAGGCAGAGGCGGCAGAGATCTTTCAGCGGATGCGACACCTGGAGACCCCTGTCACACCTGGGAATATGCCTTGGGTGGGGTTTAGGGCAGTTTAGGGTTTAGGGGTTCAGGGTTTAGGTGTCTTTTCAGTCAAGTTTCTCAGTCGCATGCTCAGAAGCTGGGGGCGCTGTCATGAGCACAGTGCTAACTGGCGGAAGAGTGGATGTCCGCCAGGCGTTCTTGCCTGCAAGCCTGCAGCAAAAAGGGTTTAGGGGCGGTACCCGACAGTCGCAATAGGCCTGGGTGAAAAACGGTTTAGGGGATTACGGTTTAGGGTCAGAGCGCGCAGAATTCGAAGTTTTTCGGGCCGTGCAGAGCTTCACTTCACTGGTCTGTAGTTTGCCGGTAGCCAAGGAGCGTGGTCTTGGAGGCTGAGAAGGCTTTCAAGGCTTCGCAAGAGTCGCAGCCGCTGATGCTGAGGACATCATACCTGATTGTTTGCTTGCAGAGCATGGCGACTCTGCAACTCGCGCTGCGCGTCGGTACACTTTAGATGGCAGTGCCGCCTGCGGCGAAAACACCTAGCTAGTGAAAACTCTCGGTGGATGCCTGTACGGCTGTGACCAGGTGCATCAATGCTGAGAAAGTCAAGTCGTCTTTACAGTGTTGGGATTGGGTCATCATGAAGTGTGGGTGCATGGTCCCTCGAGACTCTAGCAGCGCCCCAGGACTCATTCTGCGACTGTCTTGCCTGCAACGTGCCACTTCTATCTATGCCCAAAGTTGTTCCGAGGTTCTGCGGCATGTAGGGTGGGGCTTCACCGTATCCCTCTTTACTTACATTTGAGTCCCTGTTTCCTGGTAAAGCTGCAAGACAGACAGCCCGGACATGAATGCGTGGCGCCACCCCACGCAGGATGATGAACTCCGAGGACTCGCTCCGTCGCCTCATTTTCGGGCTCCCTGGCAACCTCCATCGTTCGGTGGCCTTCTAGTTACTAGTTTTCCTTATAGAGTCGGTTTAGAACGAGCTACATGCGACAGATCTTTATGATCTGCCGATGACTTCTCTGAATATCCCTTGACAGCAGTTTCAGCTTCCTTGAGGCTCTGGAAGTCCTGCGTCAGTGCCGGAAAGCGGGAGCGTGCCTGGAACGCACAGGAAGACTCCAACATGCTACAGAGACTTTTTTGCCGCGACGCATCTTTCGGATGAAGCCAACCAATTAATGCCAATTAAGATGGTCGATAGCAATGGGGGCATGGGTAGAGGCGTCAGTTAGGTGAACGATGTTGTGAATGGCCTTGCGCACTTCCCAGACCTGACCCTGGCCCTGACCCTGCTCCTTCAAAGCTTTGCGCCAGCCATTTTGGCTGAAGCTCTGATTTACTCGGCATCTGTTGTCCCTGGAGAAGTGAAAGAAGGCGTGGGCATCATGCAGGACATCGAGGACACGGGCTATCCAGGTGCTGCTTCAGCAAGCAAGTCAATCACCGTGAAGCTGCCCAAGATCGCAGCCAAAGATGTAGAAGGCTTCAAGACAACTTATGAGGCACACGTCAAGGATCGAGAGGCGCAGGGCATTCCGCCGCTGCCTTTGGATGCAAAGCAGGTGCAGTGTGTGGTGGAGCTGCTGAAGGCACCTCCGGCAGGCCAAGAGACATTCCTGTTGGAGCTGCTGCGGAGCCGTGTTCCACCGGGGGTTGACGATGCCAGCTACGTCAAGGCCAACTTCTTGCGGAGGATAGTGGTCGGTGCGGAGAGAAGCCCAGTCATCACCAAGGCACAGGCGGTGGAGATGCTTGGGTGGATGCAGGGAGGCTACAACGTGCAGCCTTTGGTGGAGGCCCTGGACCTAGATCAGGAGCTGGCCGAGTTGGCTGTGACAGGTTTGTCACGCACCCTGCTCATGTTTGATGCTTTTTATGACGTTGAAGACAAGATGAAGGCAGGAAACGTGTTTGCAAAGAAGTTGATGGAATCCTGGGCCAAGGCGGAGTGGTTCAGCAGCAGGAAGGGCATCCCAGACAAGGTCACATTGACGGTCTTCAAAGTCACGGGCGAGACGAACACGGATGACCTGTCCCCGGCACCCGACGCCTGGTCCAGACCTGACATTCCTTTGCACGCCCTGGCCATGCTCAAGTTCCCGCGGGAAGGCATCACGGATGCCTCAAAGCAGATCGCCGAGCTGAAAAAGAAGGGCTTCCCCTTGGTCTACGTGGGGGACGTCGTAGGAACAGGCTCCTCCAGAAAGTCAGCGACAAATTCCATCCTGTGGTACATGGGCGACGACATCCCATTCACACCGAACAAGAGGACTGGTGGATTCGTCTTCGGGACTGTGATAGCTCCCATTTTCTTCAACACCATGGAGGACTCGGGTGCGCTACCAGTTGAGATGGACGTGAAGGACATGAACATGGGGGATGTTGTTGATGTCTGCTTCAGAGAAGGAGTCGTCAAGAAACATGGCACTGACACGATAGTGTCGAAATTCTCCTTCAAATCGGAGGTCTTGCACGATGAAGTACAGGCTGGAGGACGCATACCTCTGATCATCGGGCGAGGGCTGACAGGAAAGGCCAGGGAAGCACTGAAGCTGGAGCCCTCCCAAGCTTTCAGGTCTATGAAGCAGCCGGACGTGAAAGTGAAAGGCTACACTCTCGCGCAGAAGCTGGTGGGTAAGGCCTGTGGCGTGGCTGGTGTCGTGCCCGGCGCCTACTGTGAGCCCAGCATGGGCGCCGTAGGGTCCCAGGACACGACTGGCCCCATGACCAGAGACGAGCTAAAGGACCTTGCCTGCCTCGGCTTCTCTGCTGATCTGACAATGCAGTCTTTCTGCCACACCGCAGCCTACCCCAAACCAGTCGACGTCACCACGCACCAGACGCTGCCGAAGTTCATTGCTGACCGAGGTGGCGTGGCTTTGCGACCGGGCGATGGCATCATCCACTCGTGGTTAAACCGGATGTTGCTACCGGACCAGGTTGGAACGGGTGGTGACTCGCACACTCGCTTTCCTCTGGGCATCTCTTTCCCGGCCGGCTCGGGCCTGGTCGCCTTTGCGGCTGCCACCGGGGTGATGCCTCTTGATATGCCCGAGAGCGTTCTCGTCCGCTTCAGCGGAAAGATGCAGCCAGGCGTCACCTTGAGAGATCTGGTGCACGCAATCCCATACTTTGCCATCAAGAAGGGCCTCTTGACGGTCGAGAAGAAGGGCAAGGTAAACGTATTCAACGGCCGTGTGCTCGAGATCGAAGGTCTGCCAGATCTGAAGTGCGAGCAGGCTTTTGAACTTTCAGACGCCTCCGCCGAGCGCTCTGCGGCTGGCTGTACCATCAAACTCAACCAGGAGCCCATCATCGAGTACCTGAAGTCGAACATCGTCCTCCTCAGATGGATGGTCGCCAAAGGCTACAGTGATCCGCGAACTCTCACACGGCGCGTGGCCAAGATGGAGGCCTGGCTGGCAAACCCGCAGCTCATGGAGGCAGACAAGGATGCCGAGTATGCTGCTGTTCTTGATATCAACATGGACGAGATCAGAGAGCCGATTCTTTGCTGCCCAAATGATCCCGATGATGCCAAGACGCTCTCAGCGGTGCAAGGTGCCAAGATCGACGAGGTTTTCATTGGTTCTTGCATGACCAACATCGGACACTACCGCGCTGCGGGCAAGATGCTGGCGCAATGCGAGGGACAACTCCCCACCCGGCTGTGGATAGCACCTCCGACCAAAATGGACCAGGAGCAGCTGACCAAGGAAGGCTTCTACGCGATTTACGGCAAGGTTGGGGCTCGCACTGAGATGCCGGGGTGCTCGCTGTGTATGGGAAACCAGGCCCGCGTCGCAGACGGCTGCACTGTGGTGTCCACCTCCACTCGCAACTTCCCGAACCGCCTCGGCAAAGGTGCAAACGTGTACCTGGCCTCCGCTGAACTTGCTGCAGTGTCGGCCATGCTTGGAAGGCTCCCAACGACAGAAGAGTACCTGAAATACCATACAGAGCTGGGCAAGAACGAGGCCCAAATCTATAAGTACTTGAACTTTGACCAAGTGGAAGACTACTCGGACGTGGCAGCAATGGTCGCGAAAAGGTCCTGTTGAAAGGCAGCCGCGTCATGTTGCGTTGTTGCCCTCGACTTGGGCCGAAGGTCCAGGATGGTGAGGCAGGGAGCTGCGTGGCACCACGTCACCGCGTATCAGCACGCCACTTGTCTTTGCCCTGGCCTTGACTTGGTCCAAGGTTCTATGATTCTATGGCTTTCAACTTTTGAATTTCTTTTACGTAGAGGCTTTGGGTCGCCTTCCAGGAACAGATCCAGACGAGTGAAGGGCGATCCGTCCGGAGGTAGTCACGGCCAGGGTTCAAAGCTCGAGCCTTGAAGCTCCTTCACTTTGACGGCATTGAGGCCTTCGTCGGTGTTTCGGCATAGCTCATTTTCAATTCTTTGAACTCTGGCTGGTGATGGGCGTCTCCCAAGTGGTTTAAGTGGAATTAGGTGTTGCAGGCTCCCTTCGACAGGGAAGGAGCATCTGTTCTTAGAGTTCGCGGAACTACAGGAGCACAAAGTGGCCCTCTTTCCGGTTTTTTGCTTCGAGGTACATTATATATATACATATATATAACATAGTATATAATATTATAATATATATATAATATAACATAGTCTATAACATAGTATATAACATAACATAGTATAGTATAATATGTGCCAAAAAAACCCCAAAACTGCCGAGGCAAGGCTTCTACTGGCCGGGCCGCTTTGGTGAAAACCCCCACTGGCCGGATGAGGCTGGGTGGGCGAGATTTTCCCATGGGGACCTATAGGTAGAGCCCATGAGCCGGGAGGTGTTGGGATGCAGGTCTCAGGAGAGGTCTCAGGAGGAGGAAGTTGTCGTGGAATTGATGCTCGTTCAAGTTTTGAACTCGGAGAGGCCTTGTTGGGACCACTCGTTGCGATTTGCCGAGCCTCGCGTGTCATGAAACCTACGTACAGTCAGAGCTGAGCAGGTCTTGATCTCTTGATCAAACGCTGTGTGCTTTGCAACGGAGTCCATGAAGCGACTTCCTTGCAGGACAACCATTGTGCTTGACAAGCCGGCGCCCCAGGGCTGGGAGGGTTTCCATTGAGGACCACAGGGTGGGAGTTTGATACCGGAAAGGTTTGCAAAGGCTGGTCAGGCGCTCTGAGAAACGAACTTGCCTTGTCCTGAATCCGAACCCTATAGGCAGCCTATAGGCCTGTGCGCACCATCGTTCTGCAATGTTATCGTTTGTGATCTGGATTGTTAGCTTGGTTTGAAGTTGATGCGGGACACAGTCTCATCTTCGTTAGGACGAAGTCCAGAGAGATGTGGTCACAAAAAACAAGGTAGAAGCAACATCTGGAAACCGATTCGTGGCAGAACATCAGACGGTCATATGATGTGTGTCCGTAGGCACCCGTAGGGTACCAAAACATGTGCCAACCTTCAGAGAAAGAACAGCGAGGTTGGCCGGACCCACCCCAAAGAGAGCACCTGAAGGAGCGAATCATTCCAAGAGCCCAAAGTGCCGAACAGGTGCCCAAAGGCATTCGCACCACGAGATTTCTTCAAGAATCGGGTCGGGATGATACCTGTGCTCCACTGAAAGAGCCGAGCCCTCCTGTAAGTGAAAGCAGCGCTGAGGCAGCAGGTGGTTGGGCGCAAGGACTCGAAAGGCCGAGGCAGCATCACGATCCATGGCGGCACATTACCCGAAGCCTAGCTGTGGGCTTTTCCTGCTGCAAACCTTGAGCGGTTTGTGATCTGTGACTGGCCAGGGTTCGAGTGCTGAGAGCCTGGTGCAGCTACGCCTGGACTCCCCAAACCCTCAATCGTAGCTGCGCCAAGCGTTCAAAGCCGACCTGAGGCCGCACTCGGCGGCTTCGTCGAGGTGCTTCGAATTGAAGTTATTGTTTCAGAGATTTGATCCTCCGATGCGTCGCGGCAGAAAGCTGAGATAGTGCGTCTCAGTGGGGCAATGTGGGCGATGAGTGAAAAGCATCAGAAAACGTGGTTTTCAGTGTGCAGAGCTTGTGCCGTTGTGAACTTGTAGTGACTTGAACAGCCGCCACAGCATCGCGGAGTCAGTCCTCACTGCTCGTGTGTTTTTTGCAGGAGGATGACCTTGAGGTTCGGTGTCGAGAGTCTTGGTCATATTGAATCCCTTTCCCAAAATAAGCGCCGTCGCCCGCACCATTGTCATGGGGGCTAGATTTTTTCGGGCGGGACGGAAATGATAAAGATCAGTGCCTGCCTTGGTATCACTTGTCCTGGCTTGAGCATGGCACCACTGAGCGCGACAAGACAGCATGGCACGATGTGTTCGGACCACCTGCAAACTAGAATGGCTTGTCGCCGCCCAGGAAAGGTGCCCAGAAGCAGGCGCGGGTTTGGTAGGTTCTTACATTGATTGGGCGGCGGGCGACAAAGTACGGTGGGGGGCCCGGGAAAGTTCTCACTACATGAGACGGCTACTGACTACTGCTACTGCGACGACGACGACTCAGACGACAGTTGCTGCTCCCGGCTTCTATGGCGCTGCCGCCGCTGCTGCTACGGCTGCTACTGACACGGCCAGTTCAAGAGCCTCTCCCACTGCCCCATCACTAGAAGCAGCACCAGCACCACCTCACTAGGATGGCGATTTCTGCTGCTACTCCGAAGCTACTACTACTCCTAAATACTACTACTACTACTACTACTACTACTACTACTACTACTGGCCCCGGAGTGCTGACACAGTCGTGCCAAGTGGGTGACAAAACTACTAGCTACGACTGCGACGACAGCGACGGCGACCACGGAGACGAAGACTACTGCGATAGCGACGACGATTACGACGGCGACTCAGGCTACGACGACGACCACTATGACGACGACTACTGCTACTCCTGCTGCTACTGCTGTTGCTTCTGCCACTGCCATTTTGTTGTTACGAATCTGACAGACAACAATGGCGAGATCTACTGCTAGTACTGCTTTTCCTGCTACTGCACTGACAGTGGATACTACCTGCAATTTCATGTTTCTTTGGAGCAGCGTGTAACGAAACTACTTAATTAGTGCGATGCGATGCTTCGCTTCCTCGCATATGGATACTTCCTACCACGTTGGCTGTGCTGGGCCGAAGGAGCCACGTACACCTCGCAAAGCCGCCGAAAAGCAAGAAGATTCCGCGGCCAGGTCCCCCAAGTGGATGACAGAATGCCATGCCTCGCTGGGGAACCGGGGGTGCATCTTCAACTACACCGACCTTGTGTTCGATCGGAAAGTGTGCGATTGCCATGGCATTCCGCCGAATCGCTTTGCTATGTCTGTATGTCTGTATTGATAGCAAGCATACTGCGTGTAAAACATGTAAGCATCATCACGATGACGGAGGCTTTGATGACACCGGTTTCGGATGTTCCTTGTGGGATCCTTGCCTAGATACCCTGCAGTAACAGTAGGCCTTCCCAGGATCCTGGCCTGGTGAAGTCAGAGCCTGTCCCGTGGCTGCCTAGTTTTGGTGTCCTGGAGTCCTGGAGGGTTTTCTGTGAGAGCAGAGCTTGGCCTTCAGATCATGGAACTGACAGAGGAACCCGGCGGAGTGTAGAACAAAAGGGTAAGCATGCTGCTCCTGTACTGATGGCATACATTGACACAGAACATGAAACAGTTCCGAGGCGGAAAAGGCTAATGAGAGTTGTTGCCTTTCAGCTTCCGGCCCACAGCCTGTTGGATTACTCAGTGCATTATGTGCCGACTGACGGGTTTGTCTCTTGATTTATTCAGCTCGAAGTCTAGGTTGTCTATTCGTGCAGGCACAGAACTGATTGAGAAATCCGGTTGTTGGATCTAGTCCAAACTTTCTCTAACTTTTGCTGGGTATGTGGAGGGGTGGGTGCGTTATGGAGCAGGTGGCTTTCCGAACCTTTCACTTCTTTTATCTGGCTGCATCAGATGTGCAAGACCAGCACGAGAAAGATTGGACAGAATTGTGAGAGCGTAAATAAAGGTTGGCACGTTTCCTAAGAGATTTCAGGAGCAGTGCCTGGGTATGCTGTTTCGGCTTTTCAGCATCTTGCTCCCAGAATGCAGAGAGCAAAGGAAGCTACGCCAGAAGAGCCGCGGCGATCTGATGTCGAGATGGTGGAGCTGCAAAGGTGGGGTTCTTTGTAGCCTTTATTGCCTGGGCGCGATGTGTAGTGATGGGTGGTCCGAGATTTAGGCTCTTCTGCATAGTTTACTCGATCATGTTTTGATTGCTGGGCTACCACATGTCCCTCTTGAGCGAGGGCTTGATGCCACCCATCTTCTCGAAGGGCTTTTCGGAGCAGGATGGTTTGGGCTGGTTAAAAGGTGCCATCTTGCTCCGATTCTGCAAAGAACTATCGGACTGCGCAGCCTTTCGGTTGATGGATGTCCATGCAACCATGCTGTGGCTTCCTGTAGCCGTTGTTGTCCAGGCAGCTCGATGTGCCGCTCATCTGCCATTATCTTCGAGCCACACCGCTTGCACGACGTGTGCAGGTGGCAGGCTGTCAGGTGGACAGGCCACGCCCTTTGCAGAAACTGGGGAGGGCCGGGGCAGCTGGAGTAAGGTCTTGCCAGCAGAAGGCAGCGATGGAAAACCAGCTGGAGGTGCTAGCGGGGATGAAGCTGGATTCCCGGACCCCTCGCCAAGAAATCCACCTAGCCCACGAAGCGGATCTAGAGAGACATCTTTTGAGTCGGGTAGTAGAATCTCTATTCGTATATGAGGCTTCGGCATATTACCTGCATATCTACATATATATATATACATACATATATGTTGTACATCTCTATGTACAGAGTATGCGCATACACATGCCCCATATCCACAAAGCACATATTACGGTATATTTAGCTTACAGGATGGATAGATGGATAGATAGATGGTGCTTTTAGCACTACCGTTGATGATCTAAACCGAAATCCTGCAATAATGACCATAATTTAGGGTCTCTAATGCAGGATTTCTATCATCAACAGTACATAAAAAATGCAGGTGGCCTGGGAGTTGGTGGCCGAGCTCCGGGGCCGGTTGGTGGATACCCTCGAGCAGGGCAAGCAATCTGCAGACTCGGAGTCTCGCATTTTTTTACCGTGATATAGTTTTTTTTTAAGATGGGGTTTTTCGTAGTCTGGCTAGACTTGAGTCCAGTAGCAAAAAGAAGGGATTAGGGTTTATGGGGGTGGGTTTTTTGCAGATTGAGCATCTTACGTCTGAGCTCTGAGATCTCGAGTTGGATGCAAGTCACATCTGGCATCATTGTTGTCGTCAGTACGGAGTCACAAGAAGGGGGTCTGAGCGATTCTGGGTTGCGAAAATCCCCTGTCTTCAGTACCATAGTTTGTGCTGCCGTGTTGACCTCCGTAGATGATCTAGCTAGCAGAGCTTCTGTATCACGCGTACCTACTACTGCAGGCGCCTCGAGATCAAGTTCAAAACTTGTAACTCCGGAAGCCGACGTTCGTTCCAAACGGGTAGTGTTCCCTTTTGGTCACCCCCCGCCCCCAAGCCATGCTCTGCGCTTCTGAGCCGGCCTCAAGATGAGGAACCTGCCACCGTGGTCAGAGCCGGGAAGGAGGACGGCTTCCTCTCGCAAAACAGGTATGGCACTCTTTCCATGTGTAGTCCGGTGCAGCGGTTTCTCCCCATTACAAGTACTTGTGATGAGCTTTTTTGCGGTGCGAATGCTTGTGTGGTTTGTTGCGCTGATGTTCTTGGTGGCTTGAATGATTGCTTAAAGCCAGCTGTGGTAGCTTGTCATCTTACATTGTTTCTCGATGTTCCTTTTCTTGTCTGGCTCTCTTGCTCTCACCTGCATTGTGATGCCTTGCTGTTGTTTCTGTACGATAAATTTACTGGGGACAGATCGGCAGAGGACGCAGGGTGTTCGGGAGATCAGCCCAGATGCACGACAAACCACGCCGGAAACGGGCCCACAAACATCTCCAAGAGTTCGGGGTTTAGCACTGGAGGGCTTGCAACAGAAGTTGCGGTTCAAGTTGGGAATCTTGCGGGGTATCGACTGCCGCAGGAGGACAGGAGCCAGATGCAGACAGCTCCGGGGCAGCTGCAGCCAACCCAAAGCAACTCCCGCATCACCCCGAGAGACTCGTGTTTTGTGTGCACAGATCACCACGTTTTGTCAGCATCTTGCGATGGCGGTTTGGCAGGCCCGGACATGGTAGCTTTTGGGTTCAAACTTCCTCGAGCTGTCACAACCCTCCTTCCGCTTCTTTCGCTAGTGTGTGGCAAGGTCTCCTGGCTCAGGCCGATGCCCTTGCGGTGGCTTCCCGCGCGGCCATGGATGCAGCCAAGGCTTGGAGTAGGTTCATAGCCACAGCACCAAACTGATTAGTAGGTGACTGACTCTTCGGTCGAAGAAGTTCTTGCGATTTCCACACGAAACAGGGCGGTAACGAAAGCTAGCTGTCGAGGCCGTGTCATGTGACCTCGCTGGTACGGGACCTCCGGGTTCTGTGTGCAAATGAGCTCTTGCTCGCGCAAACGTGCCATTTTATTCGCTCTCGTGATGCAGGCGACTGAACTCTTGAGCTCCGAGACGTAGGGATCTGAAAGCAAGCGATCGAGCCCGCACTACGACACGACGTTGCGAGGCTGTCCAGCGCGCGAAGTACCAAAGCGGCATCGCTGCACTGCCCTGGAGCTCCTCGCGGCTGGCGGCGCGCATGACGCACCGGCCAGGCGGTCCGGCTCTGCTTTCTGCTGTCGTCTTGTAGAGAGGGTCCTGGGGCCTCCGGTGCGGGCCTTGGCACCTCAGGTAGCGCCTGCGCCTCGGTAAGACACAGGTCGAGCTTTGTATGGCCGAAATTTTGGATCACAGCGTAGTAGAACTCTATATAGCCAAGCACGAGAAAATTCTCAACCCTGATGGATCGTTTCATGCCAACCCAACCCCAAGTGGCAGACGCGTTATTGATTGGAAAGGTCACTTCTCCACTCTGTTGGCTTCTTGTGGTCACCGATCCGGTTAGAAGGGCCGGAAAATCCGAAATAGCATTTCCTGACAGCCTCCACATACTTGTACGATGATGTGTGTATATGTGAGTATATGTGTGTATATATATATATGTATGTAAGTACATATATATATATATACATATACATATACATACACATACATACATACATACATACATACATACATACATACATACATACAAAGACAGACAAACGAGCGTGACTGCCATGCATGTATGTATGTATGTATGTATGTATGTCCCCGCCATGAACCTTTCATGGGGTCTCACTCTCACTCAAACACTTCCTGTCCCAATTATGGCCTCCTTATGGCTTATAGAAGACATGCGTGTTACACTCAATAGTAAGATGCCCTACACCCCAAAGCCGGCTTTCGGCATTCGGGGTCGTTGCGCCTGTGCGATATGTCGATTACGGTGGAAGTTGGATTGCTCAGTGGCAGGACAGCTGCTGTGAAAGCCGACGTAAATGAACAAGTGGGAGCACTCAAACGGCGGGCGGAGACGGCGCTCGGAGTTGGGAAGGGGCGGCTGTTGGACTCAGCTGGAGGCGTTCTGGATGTACTTACACGGATCAAGTGTGCCCGGCTCCAGAATGGTGACTCGTTGGTTCTACATCTAGGCAGAGTTCAAGTTCAAGCCAACAGGTACGCATTTGCTGCCATTTTGGGCGATGGATCCGTCGAGACATGGGGTCCAGCTCGCTTTGGTGGTGACAGTAGTGCGGTGCAGGATCAGCTGAGGAATGTGCAGCAGATCCAAGCCTCTGCGGGTGCTTTTGCTGCCATTCTTGACGATGGATCTGTCGTCACCTGGGGTGATGCTCGCGACGGTGGTGACAGCAGCGCTGTGCAGGATCGGTTGAAGAATGTGCAGCAGATCCAAGCCAATGCCGGTACTTTTGCTGCTATTCTTGGCGACCGATCTGTCGTGACCTGGGGTGGGGCTCTTGGTGACAGCAGTTATGTGCAGCATCAGCTGAAGAATGTTTTGCAAATCCAAGCCACTGTCGAAGCTTTTTCTGCCATTCTTGCAGAGGGAAGAGTCGTGACCTGGGGCAATGGCTGCTATGGTGGTGACAGTAGTGATGTTCAGGATCAGCTGAAGAATGTGAAGCAGGTCCAAGCCGCAGAGCGAGCTTTTGCTGCCATTCTTGGCGACGGATCCGTCGTGACCTGGGGTGGCTATGGAGATGGCTATGGAGGTGGTGGTTGTGACCTGGGGTCATGCCGACCTCGGTGGTGACAGTAGTGCTGTGCAAGAACAGCTGAAGCAAGTGCAGCAGATCCAAGCCGCTCACTGGGCTTTTGCTGCGGTTCTGGCTGACGGCTCTGTCGTGACCTGGGGTAGTGCTGCCAGTGGTGGTGACAGTAGTGCTGTGCAGGACCAGCTGAAGAACGTGCAGCAGATCCAATCCACAGCCGAAGCTTTTGCCGCCATTCTTGGTGACGGATCTGTCGTGACCTGGGGCGTGGCTGACAAGGGTGGTGATAGTAGTGCGGTGCAGCACAAGCTGAAGAATGTGCAGCAGATCCAAGCCACACACATGGCTTTTGCTGCCATTCTTGCTGACAGGTCTATCGTGACCTGGGGTCATGCCGACTATGGTGGTAGCAGTCGTGCTGTGCAACATCAGCTGAAGAACGTGCAGCAGATCCAAACCACTGGATTAAATTTAGCCGCAGTTTTGGCCGATGGATCTTTCGTTCCTTGGGGGGAAAGGTAGTGGAAGAGGAGGACGAGGAGGAGGAGGAGGTGGAGGTGGAGGAAGAGCAAGACGAAGAGCAGGAATAGCTGCGATTGTGTAGAGCCTCTCACCCTTCAGCAGCTTGTCTGTGCAGAAATTGGCAGCCACCCCTTTTCGAGAACGCCTAGTTTCCGTGAGCATGTCCAGGCTATCCAAGAAGCTCAGACACTTGTTGGGAGGGTGGTTTTCCTCCGGAGAGGTTTCAAAAGAGATGATTTTGTTTGCTGTTCACGACAATCGAAGGCAAACACACGTAACTTTCAGTCCCACTCAGGCGCGGGAAGCGGATGTCCGGAGACCAGGGTTTTCGGCATGCCCTGTGTTGGTGCTGACACAGTACTGTACTGACATGCTGCTCATTCAGTATGATGACACTATCCCTGATCGGTGTCCTCAAGAGCCTGCGCAGAGATCGTAGGAGAACAGTGCCAGGCGCACATCTTCCGGCGCGCAGCCTCAGCCTGGATCTCAGCATGGAAATGCGAGGAGCTTGTCAGAGTTTCTTTCCGTGCTGTTGATACTGGCGGAGCCCAAACCCTATCCGGCATTCCAGCTACACCTTCGTAAGACTGTCAGACTTGACAGTCAAGACCGAGCACAACTCGGGCCCTAAGCCTTGCAGATTTTTACAAGCTGGTAGCATGATTGGATGGCAGGCCCGGCCACTCCACGAGGTCGTCAAGTGCGGCATGTGCAGCACTCCTGCATTATGACTAGGGTTTAGTCCGGGCCTCGCCTCACAGTCCAGAGGCCTTAGATGGACAGCAAGGGATGCGGCCCGGCTTCTTACCCACGTTGCCCAGTCACGTGCGAGGTGGACACAGTCAGTCCCCAAAGTGCAGCCCAGCATCCCAGGCATCGGCAGGCCCGGGGCCTAAGACTGTGCCGTTCTCTCCTCTGACCCAGATCCCACTCCCGTGCAAAGGCAGCCTCCGGAGCGCGCGCAGTCGGTTCATCTCCCAGGCAGGTTGTCTGTTGGCATGCAGATGCAGGTAGCACCCCTGTCACCTTTGCATGAAGCGCTGGGTTGCAGCGCCAGTACTGTGCAGGCCAACCCGTCGGCTACCCGGTGGCTTGGGCACCCGAGACTTGGCTTTTCTCGGTTATCTGGCGCGTCATGACATGTTAACGCTTATGTCACTTATGTCTTAGACGTCTTAAACTTAGATATTGCAAACGCGACGCTGAGGAGCCGGCCTCTGCCCTGCAGCCATCCGCGACTTTCAGGCATCCCGGGTTGAGGATGGTGCAAGTCCATCAACCCATCCCGCAATCGACACCTGCGAGCCCTTCTTCGGCGCGGACACCACAGCACTTCCTGGACTCGACTTCGCCTGCATTCTTGGGAACGTCGACACCACGGCTGCCGAACTCCAGTCCAGCCGTTCTGTACGGGCAAGGCCCCGGCCCAGTCCTCACACAATCGACATCGGCAGTTTCAGATGCCAGCTGGCTGCCGCGTGGACGCACGAATTTGGGTGTAAGACTTCACCACTCACTAGCAGATGCCCGTGCCGGACGGTATAGAGAGAGACGGCGAGCAGTTCTACAAGTCATGTGCCGGGTCGTTGAAGAAAAGGTGGTCTCAGCCAGACCTGGGCGCCACACAGTCTGTGCCGAGAGGTTTGCCGCTGCGCCGGCCAAGACTCTTCATCGCAAATGTCATTCAGGCTTGCATGTCGTGCGTTCAGGCGTACCAGTGCTGAACCTGCCGTGCAAATCCTGCACCCTCCGTTTAGACAGTGTAGATTCCACTCCTCGACCTTCACGCCGACCGAGCCAAGGTAGTAGTGCGCTGTCCACTGGGATCGCTTCTCCACAGGCTGGCGGTCTGCCGCCACGACAGGACCGCCTGCATCCAGCTGCGACTGCAGGGTTTTTGGATTTGTCGGACTGGGCTGATATTGGTGTTCGTCGAGCGGCGGGGCCGCACCCACCACGTCCATGGCCCACGTGGCTGCAGCTTGCTTTGGCTTGCTGCAGCATGCTGCAATCACCTCGGCGAGTCCAGGAGCCGACAGTTGCTAGCAACGGCAAGGCGCCTGCAGAGTGTGCGAACATGCCAAGCCAAAGCTGCTTGTGCTCGTAGTGTTCTTTGCCGTGTCTTTCGTGTGCGCTTGCTTACGTCTCCTGCCGAGTTGGATTCTTCGGGCTGGTTTCCTTTGGCAGCGGCCCAAGTGGACGACAATGCGGAGTGCCTGCAGGCATGCTGGACCATTGATCATGCTTGATTTTCCGATTTGTGAAACAGGTTCAGAAGTGTCAGTTCATCGCACGCTGACCTGTTCCCAGTCATTCAAGCCTTCACATTTTCTGACTGAGTGACAGAGCCGCGCCAGGTGGCTCCTGACATGTTCTTGGTACGTGTGGCTGGCGCCGGGTGAGAAGCTCTGTGGTGCTTTGCGAGTGTCCAGCTAGTACATCAATGCTTGTATTTCCAGTCGTGACACGATGTCTGCGTCATGCTAGTAATGTGTGCAGTTCTTCGGAAGTTCTTCACATGTATATACATACTACCTGTAGTAGCCGGCAGATGCTATGAACATTCTTGATTCTTGGTGTTTGTTTCAGGTCGGACAAAGAGCGGCCGGTGCGGCATTCCGACTGCTGCGGCTTTGGCGATGCTCTCTCGGCATCGCTGTCCCCTGGCCTTAGAACGCCTACACCATCTATATCCCCCGCAGAATTGCTTCTCGAAAACAAGATGGGATGGATTCCAAAAGATTGACCTTGACACCAGACAGTTGTACATGGCAGCATGTGCTGCGAGGACCATCGAATTCGGCTTTATCATCATACCGGACGATGGTCAAAGCCTTTCCTGGTAAGTCCGAGTTCCCTGAGACGGGGAGCTGGTAGGCTTTACGGGCCTTTAAGGGTCTCTCGTGCAGACAAGGGACTCTTAGTAGAACGTCCGTGGGGCGACCTGTGCACCGCTAGGAGGTAGCCGCTAGGAGCTCAAGGTGAAGCGCACGGCACCTTGGACAGCTTGGACCGTCGAAGCTGGTGGTTGACGCTTCAAAAAAAGCAACGGTGATTTCGATTCAAAACTCAAACCTCCACTTTCAGCTTTGAACCGACGGTCCGAACAGAACAACACTTTCTTGTAGGAGGCAAAACGCAAAGCAGAACAATACTTCACGAAGCTGTCCAAGGTGCCTTGAGCTTCACTTTGGAGCGAGCGGCTGTCTAGATCCAGCCTTTGTCCAGCGATGTAGTGATGCAAAGGTCGCCTTCTCTGAAGATCGCAGCGAGAGCCCCGAGTCCTCAAGAGAGGCCCCAGGTCGCTGAAGCCAAGCCTGTGTTAAACCCCCAGGCAGGAATTGGAACAAGGGGGAGGCGACAATTTCCACAAACTACGGACATCTACGGACCCTCAATCCAGGGGGGGGTTGCCTTTTTGAGGACAAAACTGCGAACAGAGAAGAACGTTAGTGCAATTATGATAGCAGCAGCAGTCGTCTTAGTTTTGATCGCCGTGCAGTCAAGCCTTCCAACTGAGGCCTTTGATGCGGGGCCTCACGCAACGATGACGGCTCCGTATGGTAAATGCTGTAAATGTGCCCGCCAGCTGCTGGGGAGCATGGTCGGATTGATGGCTTCCCATTCTGGTGCGAGGTCGATTTTGGTTGTGCAATTCCGGTTGTTTCCCACGTGCAGGGTAGGTTCTCCAAGCAGAGACAGAAGAACCGTCCGATCATCAGCAGTCTGACCTTCGTGCAGCTGGCGATTTTCGTAAGACTGGCATGAAACAGCAAGCAGGGTATCCCAGACTTCGCCCATGGGACCCTGATGCACGGCCCACCACATTTTTTTCAATGGCTGCGGCGATAGACTTCGGAGGCTCATGTGAGGATATCAGCCATTGAAGTTTTTTTGAAGTCTTGGTCCGAAGCCTCCAAGGGCCTTCCATGGTCTTCTCCTGCTGCTGTGTCGTGCTCGCAGACTTGTAGATAGAGTGTGGTCCCGGGATGTGATGTGCTTTGCTATGCATGCAGAGTCGCTTGATTGCATCCCTGGGGGTGCACCCCATGCTTGAGTGGGGTCCTGCCGGTTCCGAGATGCTGCGCACACATTTGACGAAGGCGAAAGAAGGTAAGGTAGTAGAAGGGCTCGTGCAGCGACAAAGTAGCTTTTCAGAGCCGATTTGCTCACGTTAAGCAAGCCACAGGAGAGACCGGCGCGGCACAAGCCAAGCCAGCTCCAGGGATAGCATCTTGGGCAAAGTTGGCAGGTTCCCACTACAAATGTACGTTTTAGCAGAACCATGCAGAAAGTCTGTTGACCTGTGCCCGGACCGTCCTGCATGAAAGGCACATGACTCAGGCAAAGCTTGAAACTGGAGCTTGAAAGTACGCAGGATGACAAAGCCGTAAAGCATTGTGCTTGGCTTTTGTTCGATGGGCCGGGGCACGGCCAACGACTGCCGCAGAATAACACACCCGAAGGGTGTCCTGAAAAGTGCCATGGTATCATGGCCAGACGGCCACAAGCCCGACCAAAAAGTGTGGGATTGCGCAGACCATGCCAGAAGCGTGGTGTACTCCCACAGCAGAGTGATTCTCCTTACTTCCGCGCCAGGTATAGTCGCGACCTGTTTCGAAGTAGCACAGTGTGCTTGGGGATCTTATTTTTGGGCTTGTTGCCTTAGAGAGCACATCTGCAAACTGCAGTCCGCATTTTGATCCACATGTTATCCACATGTTCGAGAAGCACGTCTTGGCTTGGTTGCCACTGTGTGGATCGTCAAAGGGGTGGGTGTAGATCTACCTACCTACCTACCTACCTGCCTGCCTGCCTGCCTACCTACCTACCTACCTACCTACCTACCTACCTACCTGCCCTTCCCATTTTGTTGAAGTCCTTGCGCGCCGGACAAATGGACCGCTCCTATCCTTGCAGGTGTTGCTGAGTCATGTTACCGGAGGGCGAAGACTGACATTGTGGGAGTCTCAGCAGTTCTGCTTGGCGCAGCTGTCCCATGTGTGATGCATGACGTCAGACTTGCTAGTGGTATCGTGTCCCCTGTTTCTTCGGCAGAGTTAGCAGCTCGGGCTTCCGGCTGGCACCATGATTTCCTCCGAGCTGGTCTAAGACCTAGCCTGTCTAAGACCTCCAAGTTCGAGCTGAAAGAGTCGAAATCCCTGGGAGGTCGATGCTGCTTTGGGGGGCTTGGGGCGAGGCCTGATCGGGGTTGAGCAGCTTGAGTTTGAGGATCAGGGAGGGCCATCAGCATTTAGCTTTCGGGGTGGTTTAGGGTGTGTGGGCTGGGACCGGGATTGCTCACTCACAGCACGGCGACCGTTGTAGCAGTCGGTTTGCCGCATTGCCTTGGTGTCACAAAGCTTGAGCCACCAAGCGCAAAGCTGGGCTCATCTGGCCGAGTGCGATTGTGAGAGAGTGAAGCCCGATGCAGAAGCCGGAGTTTAGCTTTGGCTCCAGAGGCCAGCCTGCTCAGGATTTCTGCCGATCTCTGGCTCCCCGCCTTCTGAGTTTTCCTGATGTCCTCTGATGTCGTGCGCTCTGCTCTCGCCAAGCTGGAGCTGAGCCAGTCGTGTCCTTGGCTCCGTCTGTCGCTAGAACATGCCGAGGACGTGAATGCGGAACAGGAGACCTCACCAGAGGCTTCGGCGTTTCTAAATGCGCAGCTGGGATCCTGCATAGATCGTTTGCTATCTTTCTTCCTGAAGAAGTACGGCAACTTTGCCGATCTGCCCTGTCCTGCGCTGGAAATCGTCCTGCACGCGCCTGTCTACACCTGCGAGCAAGCAGAGCAGCTCTGCCCGAACCCGGAGATGAATGGAGGAAAGGCGATGCAGATGAAAAATCTTTTTCTAAAGGGCAAGAAGAAGAATTTCTTCTTGGTATCTGCTGCTGTCAACACGGAGATCAAACTGAAAGCAGTGAAGTTTGCCAAGCAGGTGAGCTTTGCTTCAGCAGAGGCACTCGAGGAAAAGCTGAAGCTACTACCCGGCAGTGTGACGCCGTTTGGCTTGCTGAACGACAACGCAGGGGAGGTGCAGTTCCATCTGGACCCCAAGGTCTTGGCGGACGAAGGCGAGAGCTGCCCCACCGTCGGCTTCCACCCGAATGCTTGCAATGCCACGGTATACATGCAGGCTATGGACTTCGTGGAGTTTCTGGAAAAGGAGACCTCTCACAGGGTTAACATACTGGACCTGGATTGATGCACTGAGATCAGCTTGGTCCTCTTTTGGTTGTGAGGCGTCACCCTGTGTCCACTCGTCGAGACTCGATGCCCGCCCTAGTTTTGGACAGGGCTTTTGCTTGCTGTGCAGCGCTCCAGGGTGCCTGCCATGTGTCACCGCTGATCGGAATGTGCCGGACCTCCCAAAAGCAAATTTCGCTCAAAGGGCAGCAGTGCTGTGTTCGGAGTGTACAGAGGTTGTCTCTCTAGGTACTCTGCGTGATGTACAGGAGCCTTTATGGTTGAGTCCAGATGCTGGGAAAACGCTGGTCGCTTCCGTGCCTGGCATTGCGATCCTTGTTTCCTTTGCCTGACAGACGTGTGGTTTGACAGGCTAACACAGGGCAGTCTGAAGGGTGGACGTGCTCGATCCCAAACACCATCAAATACCCATCGTGGTTGTCAACCTCCTCTCCATCCGTATCATCGTCAGCACAGCATCACCAGCATCACCAGCATCACCATCATCACCAGCACCACCACCAGCACCACTATCACCACCATTCGCACCATCATCACCATCAGCATCCGCTGCATCACCACCACCGCCACCGTTGCCGAAATCGCTATCCCCACCAGCACCGACACAGGCACCATCACCATCACCATCACCACCATATTCACCATCTCCTTCAGCATCCCCATCAGCATCACCATCATCTTCTTCATTGCCGTCCTGCATGCCGCTTGCAGTGCGTAAAGACGAGAACAGGAATCGCAAGCATCATCAAACTTCATTCTGTCAAGCCCGAAGAAATTGGGTCATGTCATGCACGTCCGCTTCGAACACAACTTCTGTGTGAGTTGAGAATAGAGATGGCGAGTCACTACTCTCGCATCTGTAGCCAGCACATGTGGCTGCTGAGCCCAACTCAGGGAGACATGTTCCGACCATGGGTCATCCGTGCATCCCACGGCAACACTCAGAGCAATGACCAGAACAGGCGTCATAGCCATCATCATCATCATCATCAGCATTCTCGTCTTCATCATCGTGTAGCCAGGGATTCGTCTTAACATGAGCAAAGCTAACTAGCCACACTAGTAGCAACACAAGACTGGCAGCAGACGAAGCTTACTGTGTAACCTCCATACATGCAGGCATGCAGGCATGCATGCATACATACATACATACATACATACATACATACGCGCAGACATATGTACATAGACAGACAGACAGATAGAGAAGTATATAGGTGCATGTGATGTGTTTGCCTAAACATATTAGCATCTCTGAGTTGATTGACTGCGAGTGCGGCATCGCCTTGACGGCTCACAGCTCGCTTCTGCTCCATTCCGATTCCTCGGAGATCGACGCCCTTGCTTCTGCCATGACGGCTATGAGCCGCAGCTGCACATCCGAAAGTCCAAGCTCTGAGGGGGATCGGGCATGTGGCAAATCCTCTGAGCATCCAAGGGGTGATTCAGTGATGAGCAGCAACTCGCGAAAGCCCACCGGAATGAAGGGCAAGGCGCTTCAGTGAAGCTATCGGAAGTCTTGTAGGTGCTGCAACACCTGGAGAGGTGCATGACCTGGCGACCACACTCCAGTCTCAGAACGAGGAGCTCAGCATTGAGAAGGGCCCGGCATGTCTGTTTTGTGACTGGCGCTTCTGACAGGCTCTGCAGCACAGCATGGGTGCATGGATCGTTGGGTTTCACCACAGTGTTTGCTCAAGTCATTTTCAGCCCATCGCAGCCTCGTGATGACAGGTCACGTGCACAATATCAAGGCCGACAACGCCAATTCGTCATCGGGCATGCAAGGGCAGCTCAATGATTCTCGGAACCGAACAATGCTTTTTACAGCCAGTCATACGAGGGCGAATGGCCTTGATTCTTCTGGCTGAGGACATAAAGCGCTACTTTGCAGCGGACGTGCAGAGGATGGTCGAAGAGCCCCTGTCCTGCAAGACAAGCCTGATGTGCATGGCAGGTGACTAAGTTCAGCCATGTTAGGCCTCATTACCAAGGTTCAAAGTACAGCAAAAGTTGCAGGAGGCTGAGAATGTCCGCCTTCAGCAACAGGCCCCAGCAAAGAGCTTGCTGCTCTGTGAGTAAGTTCCCATGTTTGACTACCAGCTCTTCGTGCAGGTGACCCAGCTCAAGGGCGAGAAGACATCGGTTCACCAACAGATCATTGCCCTGCAGTGCCTTGCTGGCGTTTCCATTTGTGTGCCGCCAAGTTGCGTTGCCGGTCCTTTGCGCTTGGCTAATGCCCGCCACCAGGCGACGCATCGAGGTGGGCTTGCAGCATGCCGGTGACATCGCGACATGTGCATGGGCACTCGTAGAGATGATGTCGGTGGTGCCTAGGCCATTGCATCATGTTTCTATTGCACCGTGGGCCCGAGCCACCCTACTGCTAGTCTTGAGTGAATCTATTGTGTTGACATCCTGAACCTAAACCATCATGGTAATCTGAATGATCTCATGTTTGAATGCTGTTTATCCCAGTCCTGCAGATAATGCTCAGCAAGACTACTATGTTCCTGACGGTGGTTGTGGTGGCATGGGTTGTTGCTGCTGTTGATGACGAGGCTGCTTATACTTGGCGTGTTAGTGTTGGCATCAGTGCTACTACGACACTGTGCTTCGTAACTCTCAGCCGGTTGCAGGCCGGCGCTTTGGGTCTTTAGGATGTTTTAGGGCTTTCATGTTTTAGGACTTTGGGTTTAGGTTCAAAGTTCGGCGAAACCGTGTTGCAGGAGATCGAGGAGGAGATTGGACATGAGTGAGATCGGGACCGGTTCGCACATTGAGGCTTAATTCGCCGCAGAGATGCAGGGAGTGCCTTCTCTGGCATATGCCTGATACAGTTTATTCTCCCTGGCAACCACTGGGCAATTACACAGACACGCGTGTGAGACACTCAAGATAGCCTAGATCGAAATCTGGATATCTGATAGGCTCATCAGGTGTTGGCCGTGTTGCGTGGCTCCCCTGCGCTCACTCTTGGGAGCAGCTTGCTGCATGATCCGCTTTTCTGCCTAGTGAAGTAAACAGCTTCGCCGGCCAGGGAGTGGTCTCTCAAACTTGGTCTACGTGAACTGCTGCAGCCATCCATGTCCGGATTTTTGATGGTGGGAGTTGTTTAAGGCCCCAGATGACTGTGGCAGTCAGTCTGGTTCAGGTAACAGATGCCCGCACGGGCTGGTAGAGGCCTCTCCCACTACCGCGATCAGTAGAAGGAATCGTCCTTCCTGCAGGCAGAGTGGCAGACTAATGCTTGGCCATTCAGGTTCCACATGAGAGAATTCTAAGAGAAGCGAGAAGTTTATCCTTGCCCGGCTTGTCCTAGCTGGGAGGCAGCATTAGCCTCCGCCGGCCTGATCCTGGGCATGGACGACAATGTCTTGCATACTTGTTGCTTCAGCATGTCTGTGCATGAAGAAGCCGTAGTGATAGGTTGGAGGTTGAACATCTGCTTCCAAAATTGAAGGCCTTGCCTCCGGAGTGTATGATAGCTCAAGCGAGACCAGGCTTTCCTTCCGCTGTGCTTTGATTCCGGAGGTCACACTTGCACTGGAGTTTTCACACCCATGCATTCCCTTATGTAATGGCTCGACGGTTCTTCACTCGCTGACAGGCGCCTGAGCCAAAACGTGCATTTAAGCGCTTTCTGCACGGGAGAGTTTTAGCCCAGCTCTCGTGGGGGCTGTTGCTCCTAGCGGCTTGAAGGTGGTTTGTCCCGCCCTGCTCTTTGCACTGGTGTGCAAGGGCCTCAGCATGAGAGTTTCTGGCTTTCGAGGGTTGCTTGAGTACGACTGAGTGCGACGTGCATAGCGGTCCTAGTGTCCATTTCGACACCTCAGGCCTTGCCGACCTGGTTGCTGTGGTGGCACCCCTCGATTCCGTGCACGACTCGATTTAGCAGCTTTGGCAGTTTATCATCGTTACGCAGGGATACAGACCTCTCTGCGGAGACTGCGCGATGATCTTGCATATCGGCACGTCCATCAGGTTCACCGGGGGAAGGTCAGCAATCAAGTGTTCTGCTTGTGCAAATCTGACAACACACTGTAGATTTCAAGTTCATCGTCTTTACGATCACCGGCCTCTTGCCATGGTGGCGTGCTATGTAATCATACCACACCGATTGACTACTATTTCATCAGTGCTTTGCATATAGCTTATTGCTGGCTTCGTCATCCATTCATTGTTGGTCTTACCCCTTCATGCCTGCCATCCGTGACAAGTGCAGAGGCCATGAGTGCTGCAGTCAGCCGGGAGCCAAGGTGTGCACTTTCATCGCTCCTGACTGACCTTTGTGGGGTTCGTGCAGAGAGGGCAACAATCTGTCCACATCATCGCTGCCAACATCTGCAGGTGGCGACGCCTCTGCCTCGCACTTGACACCAGAGGACTCAGTTGGACTCTGTTGGAGATTTTATGTCGAAACCCAGCCGCGTAAAGCAGTAGGAGGATGTAACTTGCACGGGCAGCACCTGTGAAGCTGGTTGGTGGTCCTGGTTCCTTGCCTTGATGACGTTGCCCGAAAGCTTACCATCAGAACGCGACCAAACTCAGAAAGTCAGCATGATAGGTTCTCACTGTCACTCCTCATTTGTTTGACACTATGGTTTCTCATTTCCGTTTTGATTTTGCGCAATCCATCCACTCGCAAAGGCTGCCCACCCCCCTCACGTTGGCAGAAACCTCCTGCCCTCATGTGAACCTTTTTATGACGTCTTCGCACCAGAACGCACTCCTGGTGGCCTCGAACATGCAATGCCGACCAGCAGATGCAGCGCAAGGATGCGCAAGGTTTACATGGCACAAAGCCACCCCGCATGCTACAGGACAGTGGTTTTGCAGCGGCAAGTCGCCGGAAACTCGGAGGGGACCAGGACGAGCCTGCAGACCACGCCGAACCATGTCAAACAAAGTACAGGTTATACATGTTGGAAGATTCGGCCCTAAACCCCGAACTGGTGCGAGTTGCGAGAGTCCAAACCCTGGAGCCCTGACGTCGGGACGAGAGAGGATCACGAGAGAACCTTTTAGTAGGTCGTATCTCTTGGGGGTTTGGTGCGTGTTTTTTGAGGCTGCCCTCTCTCTCCCTTTGGATGGTTGCACTTTGCCGACGAAGACGATATGGATTGTCCGAGTGTGAGCGCCCCGAGTAGCGAGAGCATAAACTGGCAGAGGTGTTGGCCACAAAAGCCGTGGCCGCTCTGCTAGCGCTGCATTCCTGGCACGTTCTCGTGCGACAGTTGGAAGAGTAGGACTGAGTGGGACTGTCGCAGATGTACTCAGGTATCGGCATCAAGGCGGAATAGCAGAGATATAGATACAGATATGGACTGGATATAGACCTAGAGATAGAGATAGAAAGACAGGTAGTTAGATAGATAGACAGGTACATGGACAGATGGATGGAAAGACAGACAGACGGCAGGACAAACGAGACCAACAGCAAGAGCAAGCATTTAAGGAGTAACAGGCGAGTGCTTGCAAAGGAGGAGACAACTTGCACAGTAAACAAGTTTCCGCGGTATTCGCCGGTCATTTCGACAGCGCTGCCAGGCCCTCCTGGCCAAGAGCCCAGCTTTGAAGGAAGCCTTGCGTGTGGCAGACATTGTGGAGACGTGAGTAGGACTGCTACGGATGCCACCAAGAACGATCAAGAATGTAGTTGTTCGGCATTGGGGGTACTGTTGCCTCGGCTTGTTTCAAGCTTCTCGGCACACTGTGAAGCCTCTCCAAAGTCTCGCTTCTCGTGATGCAAGTTTGAGGTCGTGTCCATTCAGGCCGTGCTGCGAGCTTCCCTGTCCGGGCCTCTTAGATCCCTCGCTTGTGATGCATTAGGCTTAGGCTCATCAGTCAGTGCAGGCGCCCTCAGAAGAAACTGGAAGCTTCGGACATCTTCGGACTTGGGCTTAGGTTGGTGACCTTCCGACTGGCGCAGCGTCGACGCAATACGCGGGTGCCAGACATGTAGCGCTAATGTGTAAAGCGGGACAGTGTCGCGAGACTTCTGTGACTGGCCGGGTCAGGTTCGGGAAGCAAGTTGCCAAGTCTCAGTAGAGTTGTCTCTGACCTTTTTCATTTTGAAATCTGGAATCAAGGTCTGCAGTGCACTGCATATGTGATGTTACGGGTTGTAGGTCTAGCGCGAGAGTCGAGTCCTCGAACTCCCAGAAAGAGGGTTCAATGCTGGTTAATGTCTGTAAGAATGCCGTTTCTGGTGTCAGTCGGATCACGTGAGAGCAAAGGAAGGTTCATGGGTTTTGGCAGCTCGGGTTTTGCTTTCTGTATAAACAAGGCGACACTTGTCAGACTCAGTTCACACGGCAATTGAAGTAGTTCTAAGCTTATCTAACTAAGTCCCATAAACCCTAAACCCTAAACCCTAAACCCAAAACATAACCAAGTCCCCTGATCCTCCAAGCAGGATCCTGGTCCCTTCCTCGTGCCAGGTCTTGCCTTGAGATGGCTCGCAGTCGCCTGGCGGTTGCTGGTGAAAATACCGTGGATGTGGGGCTTAGGGCCGTTTAGGGTTTAGGATTTGCATATGCGTAGCCCAGGTCTAATAGGGTTTAGGGTTTATACGGTTGCTGCGCATTTCAAAGGGCAAGGGCAGTAGCCTGGAGCATGCTAGGCATCCAGACCGGACCTTTCCGTTATGGAATCGATGTGCTGGCTCCACGACCTCTTCCTTTCAGGGACACCACTTTTCTGTTGACAAGTCTCGGCGTCTGAAGTCTCAGCATCCGTCGAAGAGCTGTTTCAGGCACTTCTGTAGCAGAGCCTCAATATGCGTGGAATTGCCGGGACAGACATTTGGGCACACAATCCGATCAAGATCCCAAGCACAAGAACAGAACCTGATATTGGCAGCTTGTGGCTGTGAGCCCACGCTGCGGCCAGCCCGCGGCAAGGGCGGCTGCTCGGCGAGTCATCAGCCGGGGAAGGATTCGGTAGTGCAGGGGCTTGCTTCTCCACAGGCGACAGGAGTCCTAGCGAGAGTGCTGTATGAAGCGAGGCTAGCAGCATAGCGCAGTAGGTCCTCGGATTGGCCGACAGCCAGCTTGCATTAAAGATCTCATTTTGGCAAGGCCAGGCCATGGGGCAGGCGTTTGCAAGTGAGACGACTGTGACGGACAGAAGGCCGAGGGAGCATGCCCTAGCATGTCAGCTAGGAGAGCTCGGATGTGGCTAGGACAGATCATGGCATGCTGCTGTGGTGAAAGACTCAGCCATCCGAAGCTGCAAGTTGACGTCCCGAAACTTTTCGTCTCAAGCAGCCAAACCAAATTAAAGGATGCCTGTCTCCCCAACTCAAAACAAGCACACGTACTCGTGCACTTTCAGAGGCTAGAGCGACCTAGCTGCCCTGACTCAAAGTGCTCAGCTAATTCGCCACCTTGTTATGACAATGGCTAGTTCTGCTTGAAAGGACCTCCCGGTGTGTGTGTGTGTGTGTGGTGGCCATAGAGGCGAGCATGGAATAAGTCTTGTGGTACGAGGAATTTGTTTATTTAGCCCGAGAAGACCCGCGGACCACTTGTCGGGCACCCATTTGCCTGTAGCCGCCGATGTGGCGAACGATGGGCAGATGGCGTTGCGCTCACTTTGGTGGTGGTTGGCCCAGTCGCTGATATCTTTTGGACCCTTCTAGCAGTCTACAGGTGCTGCTTCTAGCTGTCGCAGCTTCCCGTTTCAGAGATGGTCCAGGCTGAAAAGTCCCGTCGTGCTGCTCGCCATCGTTGCGACTCTTTCCCTGGCTTTGCTGTTTCTTGACAACGGCAGTGTCACCCGGCATGCTCCAGGCAGGGCTGATCCACATGAGCCCCTCAGCGTAGTTGTGACCACGAGAAAATGCAGGAAAACGCAGGTGCTGTGAGTGCCAGGCAGCTACGGCAGCTACGAGAACCCCGGACGGGCCATCGTTGAACTCCATGCAGCGATGCTTAGGTGCCTTGAGCATGGTCGGCAAGTGGCAGGAGACAGGATTCGTTGTTTCTAGCGCAGCGAGAGACGTTAAGTCAAGCCGCCCCACACAGTCGGTGCAAGCCGCAAGCCAGGAACATGTCGCTGAGAGTTGCGTGCTCAGACTTCGTTGTCGGTGCGTGACAAGTCGAATCGCTGTTGATGTCGGGCTATGGATGTCAAGCTAAGGTGCAAACAGCTGAGCAAGTTCTGCTAGAGCTGCGTCAAGCTCATTTAGAGATGAGGAGCTGTCACTTCCACGCAGGACTGCAGAACATAGGTTACAACGCCCTGTCGCCCGCAGGAAGCAGCAAGACGAGGTGTTGCGGGGGCGGGGGGGGGGGCAAGTGGGCAAGCTGAAGAGTGAAGGTCTCACAGGCAAACCAGAAGCCCTCTTGTTCATCCACGGCCAAGTCGCATGTTTTGGGGGATTCTTGCAGTGATATCACACTCGAGGCTGACTTCTGCAACTTAGTCTGAATCTAGGCCATTCTTCCCGACCACGAGTCCACGAGACCAAACCCTAGCGGCCCTGACACAGCTGGTCAGCATCAAGCTCGGGACCACGAGGCATCGGCGCTGCGCCGAGCCACTCGTGCCGTGGCGCAGCGCGGCGGAGGCGCCCCGGCGCCACCGCCGCCGCCGGTGCCGGCGTTCGAGGTGTCTGAGTGGGGGCAAGAGGAAGGGAGTTTGGGATGGCATGCAGTGTTTAAATCGGTCAGTCCGGGCTGTGTCTTGTGGGCCAGATGGGCTCAAAGTGCTTCAGGGAGGAGGGTTCAGGGTCCCTTCGCCCTTGCAGAAAGACCCAGGGGCTCAAGCGGCGCGTTCCGGCTTGAACTGTTTTGTTGTGGTTGGGTGGGCAAGCCGAACTCGAAACCTTACCTCTTTGAGGAGCCTTCCGTGCCGGAAAAGCCAGCGGAAGAAGCAGAGGCTGAGGACTGCTAGAAAGGGAACTGAAGCCTGCAGTCGGACCGAGCCCCTTTTCATTTAGCCAGGAGCCCGAAACATAAGACCCAACACCCTAAACTTCGAGGATCCTGGCTACAACAAATCCTGCCTCAGGGCTTTAGGAGGACCCCTTTTGGCTTGCACCTGCTCCGACACAGCACGTCATGTGCCGCGTCCTGCTCGCGGCATTCCGAACATCGGAGCGCGGGGCCGCCGCAGGAGGAGGCGAAAGCTCTCGGCGTGACGATGTAGCTGCATTCCACCGCCAGGTCTTCGCATGAAGAAGTGGAGATGCCGGATGAGAGATACCCTTCGGATGTGGTGTGGCGAGGCCCCATGAGCTACCAAAACGATCTCGCTGAATCAGCACATCCCATGGGCAGGGTCATCTCCCATTTCACCTCCCAGCCATGCCATGCTTGGGGTGCTGGGGCGAACATGGCTACTTCCGTGTTCAAATGATTTGCACCTGGGCCACATCGAAGGACTTCACCGCACTTCAAAGTGTCAAGTTGATCCACTGCTACGAGGACACGAGGACGGTTTCAACTTCCTGAGCTGGATTCGCCCAAACGGAGGTCTCCAAAACATCCGGCGTCCCTCTGCTGTGCCAGATGCCTCTTCCTGGCCCCTCCATCGGCCCCTGCGGAACGTTTTCGTAAAGCAAGCTGGTCATGACAAGCTTGCTTTACGAAAGTGTTCCCCAGGAGGGGTGGCCGTTCGACCCGAAACCCGACACCATAAACCTGTACAAGACCCTAAACCAAAAAAACACAAGATGCCAATTGCCAATTGCTTTAGCTTTTTTGCAGGACGGCACTGCCGAGGGCCAGGTCAGTGAAGAGCAACAGAAGCGTGAAGAGGAAGAGCAGCGAAGCTCGAGGAAGTTAGATTCGGTTCCATGGTCAGGGCATATGCTACGCTATGATAGACCCAGGTGTAGAAGCGTTTAGACTCCAAACGTTGGAGTTCTTATGTTGGAGTTGCCGGCTACCACAACCTCGTTCCTGCTGAGGAAAGCTCATCGGCTACAACGAGGCGCTTGATGTTGTGTATTATTATTATTATTATTATTTTTATTATTATATATATATACATACAATGTTTGTGTATTTTACATTCAATATGATTACATTTTATGTTGCACATAATCTGTTTTACATAATGTGTTTTAATTTGTATTATATATTCAATCTACGTTATGTATTACTATACATGTTACATTGTATACGGTATACTGTATAAGAAACAGCTTATATTGCATACTGTGCGTGGCATGTGACCTGCCATGTAGGATTGAACCGCCTTGAGACTGGCATGCAGGAGCCAAAACATGTTGCACATATCGCACCAATATGTATAAATATACGCACATACAACTAAGGTTTTCTGTAGTACATCGTCCCATTTTCTATTCTTTTCCATTCCATTCCATTCCATTATATTATATTATACTATGCTGTATATATATATATATTACAGTAAGTTACACACTTTATTATAATACATGATACTTTATATACTAAATGTTTCATATCTTGTGGTATACACGTTTTATTAAATATTATGTATGATATGTTATATGCCACAAACGACAAAGTATATGCTACATGTTTTATGTTATAAGTTTACAGTGTAAAGCACGTTTGATAAATCATACATTCTATGCCATTTATGCATGCATGCGTGCATGTTTGTGTTATGATTCTTATTACTATGAGTATTATTGCAATTTGCTCTAATATTTATTTGCATATTTGGTGATAGAAATATTTTCTCCATACAAAATACATCATATTTCATATGTCACGTTTTATGTGCTAGACCGTTACATACTATGTTTCACCTAATATATGTTTTACATTGTATACCATATGTCATGTATTATGCCTTTACATTCTATGTTCTGTATCATGCTTTAAACTTCAGGTGGTATACGTTTGACTTCATAAGCTGTATATTTTACACTACATACTAAACATGCCCTATCTTGTATTCTCTGTTATACATTGTGTATTAGGTATCATATGCTTTGTCTTACCATCTAGTATATTATATAGTTCAGTTTACATATTATATTGCATACTATGCATACTGTATTGTGCACTGTATGTGGTGTGTATGTGTATATATATATATACATCTAAATACTATGAATGATAAACCCGTAATGAAAATGAATAATTAAGCCGTAATGAGTACATACACAACTATTAAAAAACCTATGCGCACATGTATATGTATATGTATATATATATATACACATACACACATGCACGTACATACATACATACATACATACATACATACATACATACATACATTTATATATACATATATATATATATATATTTATATGTGTAAGTACATGTATACAAAAATAGATATCATAATGCCTCCATGGACAGTCAGATCAGTCAGTTGATGGTTGCCACATCCACAGAGTTTCAGGTCACAGCTGCTGGGCTCTGGCTCTGGTTGCTTGTTTTTCGTGTTTGTGTGGACTTGCGTGTCTGCCTTTTTGATTTGCTTATCGTGGACTGCCGATGATGGTACCAGACCCCAACCAGGGCACACTTGTGGCCAGGCCGCGAAGACCTTCAAGCGCTTCAGGCTCGAACATGCGCGTGGCCTGATGGGAAGAGAGTTGAGTTGCAAACCCTCTGCGATGGAAGTTTGGGAAGAGATCTTGTGGATTGAATGCCGATGAAGACCAAGACTCCTCGAGCTAGTGCCCCCCAAGGAACTGAGAGTTGGGATGGCAGGCCTGACTTCAAATGTGGAAGCCGCGTTCCGCTGCTCCCCGATGAGGACAGTCTCTGCCTGCGTGCAGTGCCTGAAATTTCCCGCTTGAGCTGAGCCGAGCATGGAACTTCAGTGAATTCAAATTCACGCGGAAACAGATTCATGACAGCCTGCTTCTCCATACCCGCTTCATCCAGGAAGAGAGAATGCAAAATGCTGGAGCTGTGAGGATCGAGACGTCCTGCCAAATGTCTTGGGTTTTTCGATCAGACAATCGTACCAAATACAAAGATGGCAGCAACAATGGCACAATGCACGCTCAACACCGCGAGCTCCTACAACAGCGAGACCGAGAACAGTTGCAAGGAAAGGCCATGCGGGTGGATGACCCATGGAGACCCCGAGTATTGAAGCAAAGCCACAAAATGTCCGACTGGGAGCTGGATGATGAAGAAACTTCGAGTGTGAGCCTTCAGTCCTTTGAACAGATCAAGGCCGGGGGGAAGTGATGGATGACCCCCTTCCCACCCCAAATATGCTGAACGCTCAGCAATGCCTCGGATCATGCATGGTGGATTCCCGTTGAGTGTATGCCGAAGTCTAGCTCAGAAGCCATGACCACCCCCGTGCCGCCACTCTATGGACCATCAGTTGTGATGCTGCACGCGAGATGCAAGTCCGCCTCCGAGACTTTGTCATGGAAAGGAAGTGGTGGAGTGCGATCGGCTCAGCGTCACGCCCTGCTGCAGCGCGTGACTGGCCTGCAGCGGAGAGAGTACGGGGGAGACAGCGAGCTTTCAACGTCGGGCGTTTGGTTCAGGTCGGATCGTGTTATTCGGGCACGCAGGCAACTGTCGGTTTTTTTGCTTGGAAGTCCCCTGATTGGCCCTACCTTTCACTCAAGGCTGCCTTTGATGCTGCGGCTTGCCTGCTAGGCAACCCTAGATATGTCAAAGCCCAAGCAAGCACCTTGCCCGGACTGCCAAGGCTGGGTTGGTGCGGGAAGACCAAAGGACACTGACGCATGGCACGAATGGACTGGGCTTGGGGGAGTTGAAGGTCTGCGCTTCGAGGGTCGGGTTTGAAATCCATGCGGGTAGTAAATCAGGAGACAGCAAAGGCTACTTCAGGATATTTTGACTTTCGAGTTTGTCGCTGGTGACATGGATCTGCACATGGGCAGGAGCAGGAGAAGTAGATGCCTTGGGGTGCTTTCTGCTAGCATAATCATAGACCATGGACTCACTGCGCTAGTCTGTGGCAGCATGCACCCGTCCCTACTAGATTCATTGTGTGCCAGGCAAGTGCGCGACCTGCATTGACTATCGCAAGGAGGGTCAGAACCAGATCAACTCCAAGCGTTGATGCTCCTTGGTGGCCACGCGAGCTGCCAAAGGGGATGGATCCGACAATGCTTGAACTTTTCGATTCGAAAGTACCATCTTTTCGGGGTTCTGCATCGAAAGCACTGCGTGCCTTTCGGCTCGGCTCGACGACAGCATTGAAGTCAGCTCACGCGACACCCAGTCCTGGATCAGACTCTCCAAACGAGAGATCGGCCAGCGTCTGCTAGTGGCCCGGACGCCAGCGACTGAAGCAGTCTGCAGGGTAGTGGTGCAGTCGTCTAGAACAGAACTTTGCAAACTGTAGCGCTGTTCCTTTTCATCCACGGCTCGCTTTCAGCATGACGGGGTCCCGGAAGCAGAAGAGATGCGCTTGCAGTGCACCTGCCGGCTGCAATCCTGAGTGTCGATGGGCAAAGTTCACAAAATGCGGCTGCGGCAGATGTTCTACACGGGTTCAGCTGGGAGTACGCAGCAAGAGGCGAAGACACAGTGAGACGCGAGATGATGTTTGGACGTCTGTGGCAGGCCGGCTGCCTTGCAGACTCTCTACCCGGGGGCGGCAGGGTACAGCATCGAGCTGGCAGCCATGGGCTTAAGCGCAGCAGGCTGTCTTTTCCGGGCCCCCCCAAAGTCCCAAAGACTGCCGAGTAGCTCAGGGCTCGAAGCTGACATGCTGCATGAGGCTGGAAGGAGCCTGCGAACCTTAAGTCGCTCATTGTCAAACCCTATAAGCTCTCAGAAACTGCTTGCTTTTCAGTCTCTTTTTCGCAGTCTTGCTTAAACTTCGGATGTCCTTGGATAGAGGGCAGAAGCCGCCAGAGTCGGCATGAACTCCAAGGCCTCAAAGCTGGGCCCCGGCTTCCCCGGCTTCCAGGCCTGGTACCGATCTTGGCTTGACGAAAAGAAAACGAATGATACTGCGTTTGCTATAGCTCTTCAGGAAGACGAGTTTTTAATGCCGGAGTCGGCCGTTTCGGATTGTCACGGCTTGGCCATCTTGGCTCAGGGTGCGGGGCCAGGTAGTCTAGAGATGGGGCGAGGCCGGGTAGCTTCACAAAAATAAGGAGACCAGCAAAGGCGTGGATGTGGAAAGACCGGCTGTGAGGGCATTCCCGACTTGGCATCGGCGGGCTCTTATGGCGGCTGAGCCGACTCTCCATGCGAACACGCATTGAACATCTGTGCTGCTTACATCGCTGCCTTCATGCAAGCTGTCTGGCCGAAATACGCGGAGTCTCTTTGCTTTATCGTTCATCGTGACAAGCAGTGGAGCTCTACCCGAGCCGGGTGATCTTGGAGCCAGGTTCCAGGCGACGGAGCTGCTGCTTCAGAAGAGTCCAGGGTGTCTGAACAGTCCGAAGGCTGTGCCCCCTACGGCTTTGACATGCAGGATGGCAAGATCCACATCGTCTGCTATTCCTGACCCGGGCGTCCGTTCCAGCAAGAATGGTCATCCACCAAGCAGTCCAGGCAGCCTGCCGCGCCCACGATGCGGGCTTGCTGCCAATTTCGGGTGTGAACGTGGACCTCAACAACTGCTGGTTTGCGCCTTTGTCTTCCAGCATGCAGAGAAAAGTCATGGAGGCGAGTTGCAGGATTCTTCACCGGCAACGTTTCCGATTTAGTACCGATCCTGTCCGATCCTTGTTGGTTTTGGCTGTCAGGATTCATGGCGACTTGGCATCGCCGTGTAAGCTGTGTGGCCGAATCACACGGAGTCTCGTTGCTGTGTCGTTCATCGGGAGACTTAGAGGAGCTTGGAGCTTGGAAGGCAGAAGGCCCTGTTGACTCGGTCCGGGATCCATCTACAGATGGCGATCGCGCCGACAATCGTCGAACCAAGAACCTCATCTGAATCTGGCGGAGTCCGAGTGTGAGAGCTTTACAATTCAGGCAGGACTCAGGGTGTTCCTTGGTCGGCAGCTGGCGGCAGTTAAAATGGGGCTTTTCGAGTGCTTTGAGTACAATAGACTGCCGCTCGTTGACGGTATTCTGCAGGGCTTGTCCGATGCAAGCGGCGAGAAATATATTCGCAGCCACTGCTTCAATAGTTGGACATAGAAGTTTGGCAGAGCGGGAGGCGATCACCGACCACCTTGCCGGTGTCGAGCAGGGCTGTTGTATGGGTGTCATGTGTCTTTTGTTTTACCTGGCAGGCATATCACACATCGGTCAAAGTTGATGACTTGGAGTATTCCTTCAGTGGGGCGCGCGCCCCAGACCATCACCAGCTGAGGTTGAGTGTGCGGCCTTGCCAACACAAACCTTTGAGGACGGCATAGTGATTGGCCGTGGCTTGCCCAGCCATGTCCGCATGGCCGACAAGCCGCAGGCATCAAGGGCTGCTTAAAACTTGCTTCAGTGCATCATGCTCCTGATGTACTGCAGGTCCTCTACATGGGCTTGACCAGGATTTCTGGGGAGGACTTGAAGGAACAGTTGGGACGCTTCTTTAAGCGAGGCCGGCCCGCCTGCTGAAGGTAGTCTCCGAATTTTGCCGGAAGAGTCCTTGCCCAGCCACCTGCTCACAGTGCACTGGAGGGGACCGGGTCTGAGCGCAGGTACTTATGACCTCCTGAGGACTCCTTGCATGCCTGTTCCGTCTGATGTCTGTGACCAAGCATCGCCGGCCCACGCGCTGCGAGGAAGAACTGCAACTCTTTCACTGATTGCGCCTTGTTCTTCCTGCTGGACCGAGCATCGTGCGATGTTGTGCCTGATGTCACAGTGACTTTTCTCACACACAGCCCGAAACTAAGACTGAACACAATGAACACTTACTTACTCATCGGGCCTGCTGTAGTTTACATTTGGGTGCCTCTGGCACGTTCAGGACTCGCGACTGGACCCGGGCTATCGAGGCCTCTTTGGTGTGATGTGGTTTGCTGACTTACCGGCATAGCCTGAACGCAGGCAACTTGTCCGTGCATGTGGAATGTACATGTTCATGTCAGCAACTAACTCTTTGCAGTACCTTGAACAGAGCCGCATGAACCCAACATTCTGATCTTACCAGAGGCAGAAGTAGTGCTAGACATATTCATAGTGGCAGGGGTAGTCGTTGTCCTCGTGGTGGTGGTGCCCGTACCGCAGCATTTGCGCACGAGTCACGCTGAGAGACACATCTCACATGCCTTTATCATCGCAAGCCGGCAACAAGAACGGGTCCCCTGAGCCAGGTCTGGAGCAGTTGGGGCACATGGCGGATCGGCAAGCAGGCTGCTTTCTGAGCGATGCTTAGGGCCTAATTAGGGCCTTTAGGAAAGGAGGCCAAAGAGGCGCGGGTCGGATTTCGCTAAGCGGCGGCTGGGCTTCGGCTGACGGCCTTTGGTCTACGCTTTACACGAGAGATCGTAAGAGAAGTCTGCAGGCTTCATCTGTCCTCGTCAGCATTCGGCTCGAGCTGTAAGCTGCTATATCCGGGGCTGAAAGGACCTTCATGATGACAGAGATGCATGAGATCGTATCTGTGCTGCCCGTGGTGAGGACCTGTGGCAGTGCAGTGGAGGCTCAAGAATTGCAGTCTGTTGCGGGGTCTTCAGACAAAGGTGCTTCTTGGCGCCTGTGGCTCGTGGAAATGATAGTGCTGAACTTGGTCATGATCATGTGGAACACCGACAACATGGTGTTGCCGGCTGTCTACACAGAGATTGCCAGGCATTTCAGCGCCTCGCCGAAAGACCTGGCCTCCTTGGGCCTGGTCCGGGGCATCTTCGAGTCGATCTTCGCCTTTCCCTCGGGTTTCTTGGCCGACAAGCTGCCCCGGCCGCTGCTCGTGTGGCTCGGGTCGGTGATCTGGGGTGCTGCCTTGGTGGGGGTGACCTTCTCCCCGAGCCTATCCTGGATGATCTTCTTCAGAGCTCTCAACGGTGTTGGCTTGGGCATCGTGCAGCCGCTGCTCTTTAGCCTAGTTGCTGACAAGAGCGATGCACGTGGCCGTGGCAAAGCATTCGGCTTCCTGCAGTTCTCTGGCAGTATGGGGCAGACGGCTTTCACAGCTTTCGCAACTGGCATCGCATCTTACCAGATAATGTCGATGGCGGGATGGCAGTTTGCTCTGGTGATCGTCGCTCTTTTGAGTGTCGTGGTGGGCACTCTCTGCGTGCTTTTGGTTCGGGACCACCGCGACCAGGACCCTCGAAGCATGATGGCAATAGTTCGTGAGGAGACTCCGAAACTTGGGAGCATTGTTTGCCTTCCGACCTTCATCATCATCATTGGCCAGGGGGTCTTTGGGACTGCCCCGTGGTTTGCTTTCAGCTACCTGACCATGTGGCTGGAGCTGAACTGCTTCTCTCACTCACACGCTGCTGCCATCATTGCTTGCTTCAACATCGGAGGGGCTCTGTCTGGAATTGTGGGGGGCGTGCTCCTGGATGCTGTCGTGCGGCGCTTTCCGGATCACGGGCCACCAGGGCTCGCCCAGCTGGCGGTCTTCGCATCAGTGCCGCTGTTTGCCACCATCCTCTTCGGGCTCGGTGGCCTGGACAACAGGAGCCCCAGCAGCTTCGTAGTCTATGCCATGATCTTCATGGTGACCGGCACCATGATTTCCTGGTGTACGGTGATGAACAACAAGATGTTTAGCGACATCGTCCCCAAGGAGGCCTACAGCTACGTCTTTGCTCTGGACATAGTTGTCGAAGGCACCTTGGGGGCCTTGGGCCAGCCGCTGGTCGGCTGGCTCACGGATGACGTCTTTCATTTCAATGCGAAGTCAGCCAACTCGCAAGACTGTTCTCCGGACAATGCCATGAAGCTGGGCCAGGGGATTTTCGCCGTGTCGGGCGTGGCATTTTCTCTGTGCTTCATGTTCTACGGCATGGGGCATTTCACCTACCCTCGGGACCGGAAGGTCGCAGCTCGCAAGCTAAACTGCAGCAAAGGCGCTGCTGAGAGCGATGGGCAGGTGAACTAATGTTCCCAAGCAAACTGTAGGGAAAGCAACCGCAGAGAATTTGTCTTCTGCCTCGGTCCAAGGCAGACTCCACACTTGCACGTTTTACATCCCTGAGAGCATGTACAGGTGCTTGAAGGGACAAATTTGTCAGAGGCTAGGCAGAACGGCCTCTGAGCCATTTTTGCGGTGCAGGCAAGTAAAGGCTTGCCTCGGTCTGCCTTGCCGGGCAGCCTGCACTGCAGTTTGAAGTGTACAGCAACGTAGGGCCAATCAGAAATCTGGGAACTTTGTTGGTCTTCTCCGCATATGGAGAACAGCGGGTTTCTCGCATGAAAGCATCGCTCTCGGACGTAGAATTCTGGAGCGAAATACTCCTGGTGACTTAGACACCTGGAAAGTGCGAGCTGTGAGCGAAGTCCCGTGATGCACAGCTGTGCCCCTGACAGGCTGGCGGTTCTTTTTTCGTATTTTTTCTAGTTTTTTTTCGTATTTCTTTTGCTTTTAGGGGATACTCTAATGTAACAGGAGCATGTCCATGGTTTTGGTTGGT